GCGGAGGATCCTCAAGAATTAGAGGAGCAGCTGGAAAGGATGGAGTCGATCCTGTCACTCGGACCTACCGCTTTATCTCTGCGTCCGTGCCCTAAACCCTAAACCCCAAACCCTGAGCCTAAACCCTAAACTTTTTGGGGGGGGGGGGGGGGGGGGTCCCTACCTCAACACCCTAACCCTCAGCCCCAAGCTTATAAGCCTTAGCCCAGGTCAAGAGAGGCTGAGAGACTACCCGGCCGGGACACGAGACGCCTTCTGGTTGGCGGCTTCTCGTAGCCAGGATTGAATTCTTGAAAGGTCCTAAACTCGAAACCAGCTAGGCCTTCAGCTTTCAGGGGGTGCGGTGTGGGGTTTAGGGTTTCGGGTTTAGGGGTGAGGGTTTAGGGCACCGGCTAGGTTAGGCAAGCCTTTTGAGACCCTATGGACCTTAGAGGCAAAGCCCTCTAGCCTTTGCGGTTTGAGCTTTTGGTCAATTTGGGGACTAGGGTCGATGGGGTACTACCCTAAGGGTCCATGTACCTGAATAGGGAATACTTGGACCCTATTCTGGGACTTTAGGGCCCAAGTCCATCATGATGAGGTACATGGACCCTTCGGGATAGGTATTAGCGATTCAGATCCTCTGTTTAAGGATTATAGAATTAGGGTGAGAACAGGTTAAGAGGTTTGGTGGGTAGAACAGGAGCCGTGGCCTTCACTTACAACCCGATTTCATGGGCCCCCGTTAAAAAATTCTACATGCTGGAGGAGCTAGAGGTGGGGTGGGGTGGTGGGGAGAGGGGGGAGGGGGCCCTCCTAAACCCTAAACCCTAAACCCTAAACCCTAAACCCTAAACCCTAGGCCCCAAACCCTAAACCCTAAACCCTAAACCCTAAACCCTAAACCCTAAACCCTAAACCCTAAACCCTAAACCCTAAACCCTAAACTCAAAGGCAGGGAGTGGCCCTGGCCGTGGAGCTTGCTCTGCGCCGCGGCCGGAAACTCGGCGGGCTGCTGTGCCTCAGAGGATCCGCGCTGAGCTTGAGCCTCCGCCCAACGACTGAGAGATGTCCTCTGAATTCGTAGTTTAGGGTTTTTCTTGGCTTTCTTCTGGCTGGCTCTTAAGACTTCAACCTTTTGCGTTTTTGTAGAAACTACCATAAGGAGCCTAAAAGTTTGACTTTTAGGAGGGGTTCAGAAGTCAGCCAAGTTTTCTTGAGAAGAAAGCGATGACACATGGCATCTGAAGCTAGAGGAGTCCTGAGTGTAGAACAGCTTGCATGGCGTCCACATTCACAATGATCCCTCCCTTTGGCAGGTAATTCCGGTGGGTTTGACTTCGTCTCTTGAAGGGGAGCCTGGAGGTTTTTGTACTTATGAACCAATTATAACTGTACTGATAACCCGCTTATAAGCCCCTCAAGTGCCCTAAGATGGTTATAAGTACAGTTATGATTGGCTAATGAGTACCATGAACCTCCAAGTAAGTCCCTAAACCCTAAACCCTAAACCCTAAACCCTAAACCCTAAACCCTAAACCCCAAACCCGGGTTCATATTGGTGACGGAGGTGACGGTTCCTACATCCAACAGGGTTCGGACATAGGATTTAGAGTCCACGACTTCCCCGAAGAGTCTTTTCGCTTTCAGCCTTTAAGCCGTAAACCCTAAACCCTAAACCCTAAACCCTAAACTCTAAACCCTAAACCCCACACCCTGCTCTCCGAGGACCCAAGGGCAACTGGACCAATGCGACAATCTCGCCGGCCTGCGTGTGCTGGCCTACCATGGTCGCTGGGACAGCCTCTGTCCGCCCGAGGTTGGGGGCTAAGGGGTTGGGGTTTAGGGTTCTTCTTCTTCGTCTAGCTCTAGCTCTGGGTTTAGGGTTTAGGGTTTAGGGTTTGGGGTTTGGGGTTTAGGGTTTGGGGTTTAGGGCGGGTTCAGGGTTGAGGGTTGTGTGTATTTAGCGCGGCTTAGGGTTGAGAGTTGTGTTTCGGGGGCCGAGGGCTTTTGTTGTGTTTACGGCTTCCGGGCCACGGAAAGAGAAGGTTTATTGAAGGAGGGGCTCTCAGCGCAGGGTTTTCGGGATTCAGGTCTCATGCACCCTTCCCCCCAAACTTTCAATTGGCCAAAGCTTGATGGTTTAGGGCTGGCGTAGGGGTTGAAGGCCGTTGTCTGGGAGGCTCGGACAAAGATGAGCCTTGGGTCGGCAAATGTTGCTACGCGCCTGGCTCTGCAGTCTGTTGGCATGTCTTGTGTCGCCAGGCCCCTAAACCCGCTCAAAACCCCCAAGCCCCAAAACCCCGAAACCCCATAACCCCATAACCCCAAAACCCCAAAACCCCGAAACCCCGAAACCCCGAAACCCCGAAACCCCGAAACCCCGAAACCCCGAAACCCCGAAACCCCGAAACCCCAAAACCCCAAAAACCCCAAAACCCAAAAACCCAAAAACCCAAAAACCCAAAAGCCCAAAAACCCAAAAACCCAAAAACCCAAAAACCCAAAAACCCAAAAACCCAAAACCCCAAAACCCCAAAACCCAAACCCAGAAACCCAGAAACCCAGAAACCCAAAAACCCAAAAACGCTGTGTGGGTCCTTGTTGGCAGGAGGCGGGGCCAAGCTACGAGCCCCTGCGGGTGAAAGGCGCCGATCTTTGCTACTGAGACCACCTGGGATAGTTTGTGTTTAATTGGCGTATAATAGTAATTATTCCCTTCATGGTTCCTATATAAGTGTAGTAGTATTCCCTGCATGGTTCCTATATATACAGAATTCAGGGCCCCTTTTGGGGCACCTTGGGCCTAAACGCCCATGGTTTAGGACGTACACACGACCAGACCCTACGTAAGCAGACCTACCACCTAGAAGGCGGGAGTTGCTTGGGTTTAGGGTTTAGGGTTTAGGGTTTCGGGTTGGAGGTCTGGGGGGTTGGGGCTTCAGGCAAAAGAGTTTCAGGGCTTGTGGCGGCTGTAGAGGTCTTCAGGGGCTTTGGGGGGTTTAGGGTTTCGGGCTTAGGGGTGGCTTTAGAGGTCTTTAGGGGCTTTGGGAGGTTTAGGAGGAGGTTTATGGGGGTTCAGGGTTTGGCATGTTTGAGTGTGGATTCATAGGAACGGGGGCGGGTGCTTCCTTGGTGGGGGATTTATACGTGCTTGGGACTGTTTAGAAACCCAAGCCTGGTGGATTGGTAAGGAATCGGTGGCCCAGGCTTCAACAGCACAATTGGGCAGTTCCGATTCCTTGAGGGTTTAGGGTTAGGGTTTAGGGTTTAGGGTTTAGGGTTTAGGGTTTAGGGTTTAGGGTTTAGGGTTTGGGGTTTAGGGTTTAGGGTTTAGGGTTTAGGGTTTAGGGTTTAGGGTTTAGGGTTTAGGGTTTAGGGTTTAGGGTTTAGGGTTTAGGATTTAGGGTTTAGGGTTAGGGAGGGTTCAGCTGACAAAGCAAGCAAGGTTTCATCGTGGATGAAACTTTGGGCCATGCCTGTGCCCGGGGCCGGCAGCAGCTCTGTGGCAACGAGCTCCAGAAGGTGTCCCAGTTTCTGAGGGAGGTGGGCTGGGATAGGTTGTTCACACCTACGCAGGGCCCCTAAACCCGAAACCCTAAACCCTCAACCCTAAACCCTAAACGCAGAGCCCAAAGTTGCTTAGGGCCCTAAGCCCTACACACGCGGAAGTCAGCTCTGGGTTTAGGGCTTGGGGTCTGGGGTTGATATGGGGGTTTCCGATATTAGAGGTACTTTTTTGAGGTCCTTGTTATAAAGGCATCCTACTATTTGGGGGGGCTATTTTTGGGGTCGCATCTTTTCGTAAACCCACAAAAAGGGTTTAGGGCTGAAAGAGCTCTGTTCCAAACTCTAAAGCCCTGAAGGTCTGGGGTGAGTTGGCCATCGCCAACTTGAGCCTGCCCGATGCGTGAAAAAGGGGGCCTCGGCCGTAGGGTCGTGGAATAGGCTTCGGCAACACGGCTTGAGACTGTAGAGTTCGGGGCTCACAGGATACAGTAGGTAGGATTCCGTCGGTACAGTGTTCTGCACGTAGCTGGCTTGGAGGAGGTTGATCCTAGCATCGGCGACATGACGAGTTGCCCTCCCCCGCCACCCCACGCACTTAAAATCCTGGTATTCTAACAACAACCTAGAACCCCTAAACACCCAATCCCCCCACGCACACACACACAGACAAAAGCACACAATTCTTCTTCGTCACCTTAGTCAGGAACCGGCTGGAAATCTAGGGCTTCAGCTATGCAGCTGCTCACACAGAGTAGCTGAGCTACGCAGCAGATGGGCATGAGAGCGGTGCGGTTGCCAATTCCTGGATATTCGTGGCATCTGCGATTGCCAGCTAGCTAGCTGTTTGTTTTTTTTGGTTCCGCTGGTTGGGAAATGGACGAGAGTTCAGCTCCCCCGAATACACGGCAACATTCAACAATGAAAATGCAGCAGTATGTTATGCTCTGCCACGATACTTGAAAACTAGAACAGTTTTTCACATACGATAATGCACATATCATGTACTCTAGTGTACGGTATTATATATCCTATCACAATACTACACAATATTTTACGGCAGGATACGAAACTTAACTAAAACAAACAGTACCAGACTAGATTATACTCGACTATTCTTTACCATACGGTGCTATATAGTACCTACTGCACTAGATTAGACCAGACACAAAATATTCTATACGGCAATATACGAGACTGTACAACAATATACTATAGTCTACTAGACTGTACTATACAGAGGTACTAGAGGACACGATAATGCACCCTACTGTACTACCATCGAAATGTTCGGGGCATATGGGCCTTTCGAATGTCTGATGTTGTGGCATCTCTTCGTCTTGACTGCGTAGGTACGTGTTGTCGTTATGTTTCATAGTCACAAATTCTGGAAAGTTTTGAGATCCTGAGATGTTGAAATTTGGTGTTTTAAGTCTGTGTTGGATTTAGCTTCTTGGGGGTGTAGACTGAGGGAGATTGGCGTCCGGAGTTTCTCACTGAGTGCGTTGCCGCAGGTCTTCTCCAACATTGAGTCTCTCGCCGCCTGAGGTTGCCGCCGAGCTGTTCGAAGCTTGTCGGTTTCATAGCTCGAGGTGCTACTCAAAGTAGAGCGCCTGTGGTTTCAGAGCCGCTTGTCTCGTCGATCGTCTGCAAGGAGATTCTGTGAGGAGTCATGAGGTCATGATAGTGATGAGTCATGTCATAATCGCAGTCGCACGTACACAACCCTGTGCCATGACATGAATATAGCGGTCGGAATAATTACTAATCGTACTCCCTTATGATCCCTTTATGATCATACGATAAGAACCCCAAAAACCCTATTCTAAAAAACCAGGCCACTGCATTACGTGTTCTTGCAACGACTGCTGATAGGCCTCCCACTACAAGCTTCGGCGAAGGAAGAAAGAAAAGCTTCTCGTGTCCGAACTTTCGGATTTTCAGCCCTTGAGCCAGATCTCCTTGGTACGATACGGGTTTAGGGTTATGGGTTTATGGCTTAAGGTTAGGGTTTAGGGTTTATGGTTTATGGTTTAGGGACTGTGGCTTTCAAGTGCCATACCCGGAGCTCAGCCTTGCCGCAACCCCCAACACGCCTAGGACAGAACCCTGAGCACCCGAGAGCTTAACGCCTCAGCCCTGGCGCCCTCCATTGGAAGCTTAGGATTTTGCGGTTGAGGTTCGGGGTTTCGGGTTTAGGTTTTGGGGTTTCGGGTAGCATCGGGACCGAATTCAAGGAATAGGCCCCAAAAACAGTAAAGAACAAGTGTTCGGGTCAAAGGACTGCTATGACAGGGTTTAGGGTCATAGGTGAAAGGTTGGGATGTTCCCCCTTATGCTGACAGTCCTTAAGAGGGATTATGATGGGGGGGGGGGGGGGGTACTATAACTCCTATTCCGGACTGTTATTATAAAGGGGGACATCCCAAGTTATAGGGTTTAGGGTTTAGGGTTTAGGGTTTAGGGTTTAGGGTTTAGGGTGGGAACCAATCATGTCGCTTCCGTGGTCGAACTCAGGTCCCCCAAAAAGGGGCCCCAAGTAAACCCTATGAACCCTCTGTAGACCGCATAGCCCCGTCAACCCTATGAAGCCCTAAAAACACTAAAAAAACCCTAAAAACCTATAACATATATATATATATATATATGCATATATACATGTGTATATACATTTATGTTGTGTATATATGTATATATATATATATATGTATATTCATGTCTGGCCAAAATTATAAACACCCTATAAAGCCCGATAAACCCTAGAAACCCGAACCCCTCAATCATGCGCAGTTTTTTGCTTGTTCAAGGCCTGGAATACAAGATCGATTGGCCGTGGCCTGGGCAAAACTTGTAGGCTAGGCTTCGTTTGCAGGTGTTCGAGTCGCCTCGACATGTTTGAACGCAACTGAACTCAGGCAGGGTTTGTGACATTTCGCATCCAGATTCATTGTACGAATACTCGGGGGTAGTGTCATGGGATCATGATCTGAACTTCTACGATGAATAGATAGGGATGAGCATTAAAGTATCACGCTTGGAGGGTTGCTGGTGGCGTGTTCCTTCCTCTCGGCGCCCCCTGTCCCCTTAGTTTCAGTGCATGGGTTTGGGCGGTCTCGACTGGGCCATGCCCGAGGGCAGAAGATGCTCTCACCGATGTACAGCAGGCACGTCGCAGTCTCGGAGGCGTTGCGGGGACAGGGCCTGGGACCGAAGCCGACGTTCATCATGCTCGGCCTCGGTTCAACAGCGCCTGACCGTCCCACCCAGGCTGCAAAGCTTGCGCCAATGAGCGCAGCCACTTGGTAGCCCAGTGGTACCCTTTACCCTTTTTCTTTTGGTTCTGGGTTCCCTTATATAAAGTAGCCAACCCAAAAAAGGTGCCCTTATTATAGTATTATTATAGTATGGTGACTGGGCTACGAAGGCCACGACAGCCTGCGCGGTCTTCAGCTGGCGGTCCTATCGAAGACCTGTGCGCTTGTTCCGGCTCCGCTCTGCCCGACATGGGCCCGTGCTGCCTTCCGAGTACTGCGCCGAGGAGATCCTTGGCAGCTAAATGAGTACATGCGCTTTACACTTTTTGGGGATACTCTAATCCCTAAACCCTCAACCCTAAACCCTAAACCCTAAAACCCTAAAACCCTCAACCCTAAACCCTCAACCCTAAACCCTCAACCCTAAACCCGAAACCCCGGCAACTCAGGATCGCCCGCACCTGCCAGCAGCACATGGATCGCGTGGTCGCGCGATGCCTTCAGGTGGCCAGCCGCTGTGGCGGCTGGCTTCTTGGTAGCCCCGTGGTACCCCTTTTCCGCTTTTTTGGGGGGTGCAAGGTTCCCTTATAAAGTAACCAACCCCAACAGGGACCCTAAACCCCAAACCCCAAACCCTAAACCCCAAACCCTAAACCCTAAACCCTAAACCCTAAACTTACTGGGCCACCTGCAGGCTTTTTGCCATCCTGGAGACCACGGAGACGTCAGCGGAAGAGGATGCCCAACGAGCATCTGAGCTGCGGAAGGCACTTGTGGACCTGGGGCCCAGCTTCTTGGTGGACCGGTGGTGCCCTTTCATTCTTTGTTTGGGCTCTAGAAGTTCTAGGTTCCCTTACAAAGTAACCAACCCCGAAACCCTGAACCCTAAACCCTGAACCCTAAACCCGAAACCCTAAACCCTAAACCCGAAACCCTAAACCCTAAACCCTAAACCCTAAACCCTAAACCCTAAACCCTAAACCCTAAACCCTAAACCCCTAAACCTAAAACCCTAAACCCTAAACCCAAAACCCTAAACCCTAAACCCTAAACCCTAAACCCTAAACCCTAAACCCTAAACCCTAAACCCTAAACCCTAAACCCTAACCCTAAACCCTAAACCCTATCATATGGTTGACGGGACACCGAGGCTTTGTGAAGGTTGGGCAGCTTCTCTCCAGCAGGGTGGACCTGCTCCCGTCCGGCCCTCCGATGCGGGGATTTTCAGCAACTAGTAGGTTTAGGGTTTGGGGTTTGGGGTTTGGGGTTCAGGGTTTAGGGTTATGGGGTTTAGGGTTTAGGGTTTGGCAGTGCCCTGATTCCTGAGGTTTGGGGAGCGGGCGTGTAGGGTTTTGCGTGTGTAGGGTATATCTATAATCAGAAAATAGTAGTCATCAGCATGTGTATAATGTTTGTAAAGAACGGCTTACATATCTCAGAGGTCCAGAGTAGTTATCAGCAGTTGCACGATGCTTTTTGTTAAAGACTGGCTGGTTCTTAGTAGGGAAATGAAATCAGGGCCCTATACAATCCCTTGAAGGGTATATATCGGGCCCTAATGGGGGGGGGGGGGGGGGGTGTTCCGAAAAAAAGGGACCCTTAACATAGACCCCAAATAGTAGGATTACTTTATACCAAGGACTCCAATAAGGTGCCCCTATTTTCGGAAACCCCCTAATAACCAACCAGGGAAACGAATGACCTGGACTCTCTCTATGACCCTGTGGCTTTCGGGGGGCATGATTCGCTGCCCTAGTAGCCCTGAGCCCTAAACCCTAAACCCTAAACCCTAAACCCTAAACCAAAACGGGAAGAAGTGTCACTAAACCTAGAAGCTCGACAGCCTTAAGCACCTAGGACTCGGCAAGCTTTGCAACAACATGCTGTAGTATCATACGAGCGCTGCATAGCACTTCATCGCCCACCGCCCACCGCTGTTTCGGGCTTCTCGTTGGCTGACTTCTGATGGATAAGCTGCCGTGAAGTGGTACGCCTCACACAGCCGCACTCTAAAAGCTGAAAACCTCCGACCCTCCTACACCCGAACCCCATCTTATATTGCACTGTGGCAAGTTTCAACATGTAACCCTAAACCCTAAACCCTAAACCCTAAACCCTAAGCCGCATACCGCCATGGAGCTTTTCAGATGGGTGCGCGAGAGACTCTGCAGCCGCCGCCGTGCGATCCAGATCCCAGGCACCTTACTTACTTTAGGGTTTAGGGTTTAGGGTTTAGGGTTTAGGGTTTGGGGTTTGGGGTTTGGGGTTTGGGGTTTGGGATTTGGGATTTGGGGTTTGGGGTTTGGGGTTTGGGGTTTGGGGTTTTTCTTACCTTGGCAGCCCAGTGGTACCCTTTGCCCCTTTTTTTTGTTGTTCTCTACTAGTTGCTGAAGAACCCCACAAAAAGATTCTTCCTTATGAGGGGAATATGATGTCGGGCTGTCTTTTTTGTTTTTTTTTGGGGGGGGGTTTAAGCAAACAATAGTTCTGGGTTAACCAAAAACAGGGTACCCTTATCATTATAATGCGGTTACTGGGCTGCTATGTTGCCCGTGTGCAGAGGCTATGATACGCCTCAATTGGGGAATTCCCTGAAAGATCATATGACGGGCACATTCGGAGCATGTTCTTTAAATACCTTTCACGTGTGTGTGTGTGTGTGTGTGTGTGTGTGTGTGTGTGTGTCTGCAGGTTGTTTTCGGTTTGAAGGTTTTCCTTGATCTACATTTTGGTCCCGTTTGCTTGTACGGCATTGTTAGAAGCATAAGGCAGTATCGTTCAGTGTGACATATATATAAATAAATACGTACGGCATGCAAGTAGGGATTATTTCATTTATTGTTTTCGGCCAGTGTATGTAGGGAGGTTCTTGGCGATGCTAGCACCCTAAACCCTAAACCTTAAACCCTAAACCCTAAACCCTGAGTTCAAGTGGTCTCTCTTGGTGGAGGTCCCATTCGGGCGCTAGCAAATTTGTGACAGAACTGTTTGTTGTTTAGAGGGTCATTGCCGGGATAGAAAGAGGAGGTAGTTAGTCAGGCCCCCCCCCCAAAAAAAAACTCAAACTAAACCTTAAACCATAAACCCCAATCCCTAAACCCGAACCCCGAAACAATCCTGTCCTAGGATGAGACATCCCGCCAGGTGCCCCACAGCCCTTTCTCGACTCCCTCTCCGGCAACGCCGGCGAGCTGCTTGGTATCTCAGTGGTACTCTTTGCATTTGTTTGTTACATTGCGGATGGGGGGGGATTCCAGGTTGCCTTATACATAACCAGCCAAAAATAGGTGCCATTATGACCACCTTAAACCTTAAGCCCTAAATCCTAAATCCTAAACCCTCAACCCTACACCCTAAACCCTAAACCCTAAACCCCAAACCCTAAACCCTAAACCCTAAACCCAGAAAGGGGTGCCCTTATTGCAAGATGGTTACTGGGCTACCAAGGCTGGGTGCCGAATGGGAGAGGCCCGGCGGCTGGGATTTCGGGGCTTGAGGGCTTTTTTTTTTTAATGGGTTTAGGGTTTAGGGTTTAGGGTTTAGGGTTTAGGGTTTAGGGTTTAGGGTCTAGGGTTTAGGGTTTAGGGTGTCCAGTTCAGGGCTTCGAGCTCGGGGTTCAGAGTTCCGAGTTGAATGTTCTGGGTTCAGGGGTTAGAGTTTCGGGTTTGGGGTTGTTTGGGAGATTGCAATACAGAGGTATAAAAACCTCCACAAGAACGACAGGGTGCGCAGAAGCCTCCAGGAAAGCCCTAGTGGCTCCCTAAACCCCCTAAACCCCCTAAACCCCCTAAACCCGAAGCTGGCGCTTTGCTTTGCCAGCGACCCCTAAGTGTGCCAACCCCATGGTATTACCCTCTTTTGATTGAGGATGGGGCAATGTACATTGCCCAGCTGCAGCGGGGGCCAAGGTGTGGAAGGTTACGTGGATCAGCCCACGCAAAGCATCTTGTCCGGAAGATGTTGGCTTTCGACGACAGCAGGCGGCCAACCATGGAAGCTGTGCTCCGTTTAGGGTTAAGGGGTTTAGGGTTTAGGGCTTAGGGTTTAGGGTTTTGGGCTTAGGGTTTAGGGTTTAGGGTGCCCATTGGCTTCGCCTTCCTTGCTCGGCTGCCCCGTCATTGTGGACGTATGGGCCGCGCTTGCCGACGCGCACATGAAGCCTACCGCCCCCCGGCGTATGTTGCTCCTGGACCAGTTGGAGATCCTAGTAGTAGAGTAGGTAACCTTTAACCTTTTAGGGGTAATAGAATCCCCTTATAACCGTGAAGGTTAGCCTTTACTTCCCCCAGCTTTCTGGACAACTAAGTCTTGCATTTTCTTGCAGACGCACAGTTCGTTGACACATAGTCCGATGCCGAGTCTTATGAGCAATAAAACTGGACAGGCCGGAATCAAACGGCCTAATTGGATTAAACAAAGATAGGTTTCCTTTGTTCCTAAGAGGAAGTTGAAGGCTTCCTGAGTCGCTGTCGTGGCACTAGACCCCTAAACCCCTAAACACCTGAACCCCTGAACCCCTGAACCCCTGAACCCCTGAACCCCTTAACCCCTTAACCCCTGAACCCCTAACCCTAAGCCCTAAACCCTAAACCCCTAAACCCTAAACCTCAAACCCCAGAAACCCTAAATCCCTAAACCCCTAAACCCTAAACCCTAAACCACTAAACCCTAAACCGTAAACCCCCTAAACTCCTAAACCCCTAAACCCCCGAATCCCCTAAACCCCTGAACCCGAAGCCGCTAGTGAAGCCCGAAAGGCCGCATGGCGAGTTGAGGTTGTCACCTGCAGCACATGCGGTCAGCACATGCGGTTTAGGGTTTAGGGTTTAGGGTTTAGGGTTTAGGGTTTAGGGTTTAGGGTTTAGGGTTTAGGGTTTAGGGTTTAGGGTTTAGGGTTTAGGGTTTAGTTCCTTATTCATTCTCGAAATACCCCAAGTACGAGGGGCTGTATGTTCCGGGCTCCCAAAAGGGACCATGATCTTGGGGTACTTGCTACCTCGACTCGGGGCCTCCAACTCAAAGCCCTTTGTGGCAGGGAAACTATGAGATCCCAGGAAGGAAGAGTGCTAAACCGCTGAGCCTTTAAACCGTTAAGCCTCCCCCCCCTCCCCCCCTGGGTCCTCCCCCTAGTTATAAGTACAGGTATAAGGGCCCTAAATTGGGTTGTCGGGATCCTAGCTTAGGCTGGAACTTCCTTAAGCTAGAGTTGGCAGAGGAAGGGGCCCCCTCCTTGCAGGCGTCGGGCCAGCGGCTACTGGGAGATCCTGGAGGGGAGGCTGGAGAAAACGGAGGACGGAACCTTCGTCACTTGCAAGGACGCCCCCGCCCCAGAGCTCTTAATAAAGGGGTTGGAGTATTTACTATTGGTATTCCCTTATGGTGCCTTTCTAAGTCTACCACAATAACCCCCCAAACCCTATTCAAATTAATCAGGCCCCTATGTTAGATGTTAAGGGCTTCGGGTTTTGTTGCAGGGTTTGGGGCCGAGTTCTTGCAAGGCCTGGGAGTGTAGGGTGTTGGGGTTTGGTTCTGAGATTATGAAGCAGGTCCATTCTTCTTAGGCTCTGAGGGTCCACTTGCCATGTGCGTGTTAGATGTCCAAGGCTTCTGTCTAAGCCGGGTGTGGTCGACTCGCCGAGGGTTCGAAGATTCGAGAAGGGCTCTCGTTTCTTTCTGCAGGGCTTGGCAGTTTAGGCTTGGGATAGCCTTGCAATTCGAAAACATTGGCGACTCACATACGAGCTGTCCCATACCATCCGCGACTCACATACGAGCTGTCCCGCTGAACTCTGATATACGTTTATTTGCTTAAGCACCCCCCCCCCCCCTCCCCCCCCGAAGAAAAAACGACAAAAGATAAAAATCCCCGTATTGCCCTTGTAAGGCAGAATATGTTTTAGTTTTTGGGGGTTCTGAAGCAACTAGAAAAGGGGCTTGTTTTAGTTAGAATGGCTAGGAAGCCCAGTAGTACCCTTGTACCCATTTGGGGGGATTAGGTGCGGTTTACATTGCATATTCTGTAAAGGTTGGGATGCTCCCTCTTACAATAGCAGTTCTTCATAGGGATTCTAATAAGGGTACTCGAATCCCCATAACGGACTACTCGTAGAAGAGGGAGCATCCCAATTTACAGGGAGTAAAAAAGGCAATCTTGGTGAAAGGAGTTGGGGTTCAAGGCTCTGAACAAGGCGGTCCTGTTTCCCACTTGAACCCTAAACTCCAAACCCTAAACCCTAAATCCCAAACCCTAAACCCTCCTCCAGAGCCCCAAACCCCAGAACCCTTAAACCCCAGAACCTAAACCCTAGTTCCCTAGAACCCTAGAACCCTAAACCCTAAACCCTAAGAGCCCTCAACCCTAAACTTAAACCCTAAACCTTCCATGAAATCCTCAAAATGTACTTTTTCTTGAGTGAAACTAGAGTTGGGAACCACCCTATAAACCCTAAACCCTGCAACCCTGCAACCCTAAGCCGTAAACCCTAAACCCTACACCCTAAACCCTAAACCCTAAACCCTAAACCCTAAACCCTAAACCCTAAACCCTCCAGGTGCGGGCCGGCGAGCCGATCCTCTTCGAGGCGGCCGTTGCAGCGGCCTCTGCAGGGCCTGACGCATGCGCAGCCCTTGCCAGGCCTGGGGTTTAGGGTTTAGGGTTTAGGGTTTAGGGTTTAGGGTTTAGGGTTTAGGGTTTAGGGTTTAGGGTTTAGGGTTTAGGGTTTAGGGTTTAGGGTTAGGTTTAGGGTTTAGGGTTTAGGGTTTAGGGTTTAGGGTTTAGGGTTTAGGGTTTAGGGTTTAGGGTTTAGGGTTTAGGGTTTAGGGTTTAGGGTTTAGGGTTAGGGTTTAGGGTTTAGGGTTTAGGGTTTACGGTTTACGGTTTAGGGTTTAGGGTTTGGGGTTTAGGGTTTAGGGTTTAGGGTTTAGGGTTTAGGGTTTAGGGTTTAGGGTTCAGGGTTCAGGGTTCAGGGTTCAGGGTTTAGGGTTTAGGGTTTAGGGTTTATACGTTTGTGGGTTTATATGGTTTTGGGTAGGTAGGGTCTAGGGCTCAGGGATTTATCTTCAGGGTTTAGAGGGTTTTGGGTTTTGGGTCTTCAATGGTGTTTCGGGCTGAGGGCCGAGAGTGTTTAATTCGGGTCTGTAGGGTTTAAGATCTTTAGGGTTTGCGATTTAAGGTCTTGAGGGTTTAGGGTGTTTAGATTAAGGCTTTAGGGTCTTGAGGGTGTACGGTCTTCGGGGTAGGATGGCTTGGGGTTCCGGATCTACAGGATTTAGATTGCTTGGGCTGCACAGAAATTCGGGTGTAGGGTCGAGGCATAAGAGCTGCTTATCGGGTTTAGACTTTAGGGGTTTAGGGCTTAGGGCCTAGGGCCTAGGGTCTGTTGGTTTTTGATTCAGGGTCTGGGGTGTATAGGGTTCAGGTTTAGGGTTTAGATGCCAGGTGGGCCGAGGGCGTTTACTTTGGGATGTGCCCCCTTATACTAACAGACCGTGATAGGGATTATAATAGGGGGGGTACGAGAATCCCTATTAAGGACTGTTAGCATAATTAAGGGGGATCATCCCAAGGTTTTGTCTATTCTGGGTTAAGGCTTTTTTTTGTTCAGGATTTGAGGTTTGGGAATGTTGGGGCTCTGGGATTAAGGAATTCAATCACTGCGTAGGGCAGGCTCCTGCAGCAGCAACTACCTGGTTTTCTTCGGCTACCCTCGTAATATGGGGGGGGGGGGGGGTTCCGAAAATAGGTCTACCCCTTTTGGGGGTTCCCCTTAAGGGGACTCCATTCTATTTGGGGTGCAAAAGGGGTACCCCTATTTTCGGAAACACCCATATGTGTTCGGTGTGCATCCTTTCCGCGCCTGACATTTGAAGGCAATGCCGTGCGTCGCCAACTGTGCTGGAGAAGGCAAGGGATTTGCTTGTGAAGGGTCAGGTCCTTGTTGAATAGTAGCTGGTACTGGTCGTGTGTGTGTGTGTGTGTGTGTGTGTGTGTTGTATGCTTCTGTCCTTCCATCTGCAAGGTGATGAACGGGTGTCTTGTGTTCAGCATAAGGTCACTCCTCGAAGGGACCAGTGCTGCATGGATCCTCAATAGTCGATCGGGCTCGCATTCAATGTCAGCACATGCCAATAACTTGCACACAACATCGCAGAGAGGAAGCTCGGCAGCTTGCATAAATCCGTCCTGCATGCCCCGACTGCGACAGCCTACTCGAAACCTACAATCTGCAACCGCCAAAAACCAATGAACCGTAGATCAAGAACCAGATCGTTGTTGAGTGCTATGATTGTTCCTCAACATGCACACCCTCTTTGCTTTGTTATGGACCCCTGGATTAGGACTGCAAATGGGTTTTCAGAAGGAGGTTTCAAGAACAGTGGCGAGCATAGGCAAGAACTGCAAATAATTGTGGACACTACAAGGGTAGTTTACATGTACTCTTTACCGGGTCCTGATCGTGCCCGAATCGCCCCTCATTCTGTTCTTTGTGACCCTCATTAAACTTTAAACCCTGAGCTGCCCTAAACCCTAAACCTTCAAACCCTTAAACCCCAAAGCCGCCTGCAAGCCCTCCCCTGAAGCACAGCCCTACGGCCCTAAACCCTACACCTCAAACCCTCAAAAGACTAACGCCCTCAAACCCTAAAATCCCTAAGCTCCTAAACCCTAAACCCTAAAAACTAAACCCTAAACCCTAAACCCTGAACCCTGAACCCTAAACCCTAAACCCTAAACCCGAAGCAGTCCTCCGCATAAAAAGGTGCTGCAGCTGCCCCGGGCTCGCTTCACGGGGGAGACTGGTGAATTGGAAGCCGCCCTCGCCTGTAACGCTCGGGAGCTCCTTGGGGTTTAGGGTTTAGGGTTTAGGGTTTAGGGTTTAGGGTTTAGGGTTTAGGGTTTAGGGTTTGGCGTTTAGGGTTTGGTGTTGAGGGTTTAGGTTTTGGCGTTTAGGGTTTAGGGTTTGGCGTTTAGGGTTTAGGGTTGAGGGTTTGGCGTTTGGGTTGGCGTTTAGGGTTTGGTGGTTTGGGGTTTGGTAGGCTTGAGGGCTGGCGGGTCTGGGCTTGGGGGGGCATTGCAGGTTTTTAGGCTCCGGCGTGCTTCCCTTTCAACTTTTGCTGTGATGCCTTAAGGAGCCGTAACGCAAGATCCCAAAAGCCCCTAAACCTCGTGTACCCTAAACCCTCAACCCCATGCCACGCAAACCCTAAACCCCAAACCCCAAACCCAAAACCCTTTCAACCCTCACTCCTGGTATCTTTGCAGAGTGTGCAGGAGTGCAGCCGCGAGCCGGGGTTTGTGGCGTTGCAGCGCGGCCCTACAGGTTTAGGGTCTTTGTGGGAGTTTACTGGCTGGTTCTTAGTAGGGAACGAGGGAATGAGGTAATTACATAATCCTTTAAAGGGTATACATGGGGCCCTAGTTCCCTCGTTCCCTACTAAGAACCAGGAAGTTTAGGAGAATAGGGGTTTCCTAATGCAGACCCCGAAGGTTTTTTGGGTGTTTTTTATGGGAGCTTACAAGTAATAGAGCGGCCTTCACAACAGGTTTAGGGTCTATATGGAGTTTACGACAATAGGGGCCCCCTAAAATCCCACAGGAATAGACCAGTGCCCTCCCACGGTCCCCCGTTGTGAAATTTTAGGATCCCCCTATTTCGGAAGCCCTCATTCGCTGTAGGGTCCATGGGATTGAAACCCAAGCTGCAGTCCTTGCAGAGTCGTAACTAGCGACCCCAACTTGGATTTCTTGCAAACTGGCAGTAAGCTGCCACTTTTTAGGGCTGTACAGGTAGCAAAGCATTGTATTGTGCAGCCCCTTCTGAGCCCCAAGTGACCAACCTCAACAAAAGGGTGCCCTTGGTAAAATAGGCTTACTGGCTGGGATAATCCCCCTTGCACCAACAGCCCTTAGTAAGGATTATCATAGGGGGGGGGGGGGGGGGTATTACAATCTACCGACCCTAAACCCTTAACCCCAAACCCCCAAACCCTAAACCCTTGACCCTAAACCCTAAACCCTAAGCCTTAAGCCCTGAGCCCTAAGCCCTAAACCCTTCCTTAACCCTAAACCCAGTTGGCTACTGGGCTTACCAAGACATGGCTACCTGAGGTTCCTTGCATGCTCCGGCATTCCGCACTCTTGCTGCCCCAATGCTATCATCGACTCGACGCAGACGCACGCAGTTCTCCGGGCTTTGGGTGCCTCGCCCCGAGGAGGAGTAGGGTTTAGGGTTTAGAGTTTGGGGTTTAGGGTTTAGGGTTTAGAGGACCCAGAGTAGACTGCTAATGCCTGTTTTTAGGGAGGTTCATCTTGGGATGTTCCCCCCTTCTACTAACAGTCCTTAATAAATTAAGAAGGATTATAGTCCCCCCTATCATAATCCTTATTAAGGACTGTTAGTACAAGGGGGAACATCCCAACCAAGGTTTCATCTATGTACAATACAGGCACTTCTTTCTGTTCCTATCTTGCTCCGGGACCTCGAGAAGTAAGACTGGAGTCCACCGTCCCTCTTCGAATGCAATGACAAGCGGATGCTGAGCTCGTGTTCTTCAAATGCCCTCTTTGTTGTACCTTCCTTCGACAGGATTCCGTTGCCTGTCCTGAGGCATAGAGGCTTGTGAGGACTGAGGGTTTTTGGTCCTTGCGGGTTTAGGGTTAAGGTATCAGGCTGGTAAAGTCCCATTCTGTCAAAAGGTGGTACTGACAGGGGTGTAGAATACATCATCGTTGTTGAGAATCAGGGTTCAGGGTTTAGGGCTTAGGGGTCGCAACCTGTAAATCCCAAGCCCTTTTAACTCCCTATGGTCCAGGGTTTTGGGTTTAGGGTTTCTGGTTTAGGGTTTAGGGTTTGGGGCAGACCCTTCGCCCAACCAAGATGACATGGCTGCCGGGACGCAGGCCATTGCCTCGGCTGGTGGACCGTAGGGGTTTGGGAGTTTGGGGGGAGCAAATGAATTGTAGAATTGAGGTCATCTACCCCTCGTGCTACTGTGGACTATGCTCTGCTTGCACTTATGGTGAATTATGGTAACATTGACTAGGACCCGGAGTAGGCCCTCATTTCCTTCTTTTCGGGTTGGGGTTTCCTTATAACCCCCTTAAAACCAAAAATGGTACCCTGTTTATTCCTAGGTTACTCCTGGGTCTAGCAAAGATATCATATGGGTAGTTTCCTAAATTAGGGTCCCTTATTGGGCGCCCATTATAAGGCGGCACCCTTTAAAATGGATCCCAAAAACGGACCCCAATTTAGAGAACTACCCATTCTGGCGTTATCTCCACAGTTTCTGAGGTTTGGGACTCCGGGGCTTGGCCTTCAATGGAAGAAATACGCATGCCCTAGAGCATATTACTTCCTCAGCAACAACTGTCTGTGCCATTGATACTTGATCTTATTATATATCTTACCATAATTCTACATTGCTATATTACTACAATTCTATATCCATGTATACCTACATTACTGTTTTTGCCTCTCATGCAGCTTTTGCGGATTAGTGTTTGAGGGTCGGTTGTACCCGGGAATCAGAACTTAGGGAACTGGGGGCTTTGTCGGCACGGTCAGTTTAAGTCTGAAAGATGGCAGAGCCTGCTTCGGTGCACGAGGCTCGTACTTGAAGCTTCCTGGGTGGTCACAAGTAATACGGCGGGTTTAGTAGGGCAACTGCGCTGATCATGACCCAAATTCAGGTTCATTGCTCAAACTGGTAAAACTAGCCATGAACCTCGCAGCTTCTAGACCCTAAGCCCTAAATACCCTAGACCCTAAACCCTTGCGATGCCTGTCACGGTGTATGGACCCTGAACCCTAAATATCCTGAACCCTAAGCCCTTGCGATGCCTGTGAGGTCTCGGTGTCCTACGTGTCTGTCAGCCTGAACCGCCAAGCCAGACAGTCGCAGCTGGGACAAGGTTTCTCTTGCAAGTGCGCGCGGTGCGTCTCCGAAGAGAAGCCAAGCTGCACTACAAGGGCTTAGGGTTTAGAGTTCAGGGTTTAGGGTTCAGGGTTTAGGGTTTTTGGGTTTGGGGTTTATGGTTTAGAGTTTTGGGTTTCGGGTCCTATAAGCCACTGCATGAACCCGAGCTGCTACCATGCGTGCTCAAGGATATAGGAATGGGCCGTATACCCTTTGAGGGTTCCTGCTGCGTTTCCAACCCTAAACCCTAAACCCTAAACCCTAAACCCTACACCCTACACCCTAAACCCTAAACCCTAAACCCTAAACCCTAAACCGGAACCGTGAATCGAAGTCAACCTCTCAGATGCAGGGGCCGGGGCTGTTGGGCGGATTCGTGCACATAGCGCCCGCCGGTTCAGGAGAAGTTTTTAGGGTTTAGGGTTTAGGGTTTAGGGTTTAGGGTTTAGGGTTAGGGGCTGTGTACGTCTTCAGGCAAGAACGTTATGCGTGCAATATGACATTGCCAATACATGTGTGCACGCATGCACCTATGGGCATAGCTTTGTTAGCAAGTGTTTGGATGCATGTGTGGACGCGCGCGCGCGCGCGCATGCAGCATGTATGTAACTGCAGGGTCAAGACGACCTAAGAGGATTGGATGGTTATCTTTGTTTGCCGGTGACGTGCGTGATTGAAGTGCCAAGGCTAGAAACCCTAAACCCTAAACCCTAAACCCTAATAGCAGCCACTCAAGACCCAGAGTAATTTCCTTCTTTGGTTGTTTGCCCCGGAGGGGTTTAGGGTTTAGGGTTTAGGGTTTAGGATTTAGGGTTTAGGGTTTCGGCCAACACCGAGACACCCGACTGACAAAACAACGGCTGAAGGGACTCGGAAACACCCAGTAGAGGAACCAAACGGATCCCTAAACCCTAACCCCTAACCGCCAAACGCTCTCTTACTGATATGGTCTAAGGGAATCATTCCTTATCAAGTGCAATTGGTTCCTTTGGCTACCCACAGCCCTCTCGTTGGCATCCCTTCCCTGACCACGGTTTTTAGGGTTTTGGGTTTTGGGTTTAGGGTTCAAAATGACCTTCAGAAGTCCTAGGAAACTTGTATTCCGGCGTGGCAAAAAGTCGCGAGGTCCACCGATCCTCAGTTCGCCGTGGCGTGCAGCTCCTGCGACTTGGGAAGACTCAGGGTGCCTTCTAGGGTATTTAGGGTTTGGGGTTTAGGGTTTGGGGTTTAGGGTTTGGGGTTCAGGGTTTGGGGTTTGGGGTTCAGGGTTTGGGGTTTGGGGTTTAGGGCTTAGGGTGTAGAGGGCTGAGGGTTATGTGGTTTAGGGGGTTTAAGGTTTCTCGCATTTAGGGTGTTTGCGCTTGTGCCGTTGATGAGGATAGTGTTGTCTCCCTTTCTCACGTTTGCATAGGTGGTTAGGGTTTGGGGGGTTTAGGGTTTATAGGGTTTATAGGGTTTATAGGGTTTATAGGGTTTCTAGGGTTTATAGGGTTTATAGGGTTTATAGGGTTTATAGGGTTTATAGGTGTGCGGGTGCGCGTGCGCGTGCGGGTGCGGGTGCGCGTGCGCGTGCGCGTGCGCGTGCGCGTGCGCGTGCGTGTGCGTGTGCGTGTGCGTGTGAGAGAGAGAGAGAGAGAGACTTCATGGCCTTCATGTCTTCATGGCCTTCATGGCCTTCATGGCTTTCCGCCTTCATGGCCTTCATGACATACATGCTACGTGTTTGACCCAAAGCTCCGCTTCGGCTGGCAGAATCAAATCCTGCAACCCTAAACCCTAAACCCTAAACCTCGAAGGATTTCCCTAGAGCCCCGAAGTACCCTTTGACAACCTGGCTACCCCCCCCCCCCCCCCCCCACACATCAAGAGAGGTACTTGGGGGGTCCAGGTGGGGTCTAGAGCCCTCAAATTCAACCCTCACGCCCCCCAAACCCTAAACCCTAAACCCTAAACCCTAAACCCTAAACCCTGAGTATAGTAGAAGCTCGGGGCGAAGCGGGGTTGAGGCGGGCGTCCGCCAAGGCAAGGAACCCAGCTTCTCCATCGTCCGAGAGGAGCAGAAGCAGCGCTGCGCAGCCTGGCTTGATGGGATGCGAGGGTTTAGGGTTTAGGGTTTAGGGTTTAGGGTTTAGGCTTCCGCCGACTTGAACGTCACAACCTCAAGTCCTCGACCAAGCCCTACTAGTAAGCCCTAAACCCTAAACGCTAAATCCTAAGTCCTAAACCCTAAATCCTAAACCCTAAACCCCGAAACCCATCGATGTGCAAGGCCTGTGGGGCGAAGTTCCTCGTGGCCGAGGCCCTGCGGCACGTGCAAGAGGCCATTGTTGAGTTTGGGTTTTAGGGTTTGGGGTTTAGGGTTTAGGGTTTAAGGTTTCGGATTTGGAGTTTAGGGGTTTTAGGGTTTAGGATTTAGGGTGTAGGGTTCAGTGTTCACGGTTAGATGCTAGGCTTGCCAATTCCACCCAGACTGCAGCTTGTGTTTCCATAGTGTTGTCAGACCCCGAAGCCCTATCCATGATGCCAGCTTGCAGACCCTAAATCCTGGCAAATCCTAAAGGGCCTAAACTAGGGCCCAGAGTAGGCCCTTGTTCCCCTTTTTTAGGGCTTAGGTTCCCTTATGACCCCCTTTAAACCAAAAGAAGGCACCCTTTCTATACCTAGGTTACTCCTGATTCTCGTAAGCCTTAACCCTAGACCCTAAACCGCGCACTAGGATCTAGGGCCCGTTACAACACATGCCAAGCTATTTGTCTAGACCCTCAACTATAAACCCTAGGGCTTAGGGTTTGGGGTTTAGGGCTTAGGGTTACAGCACATGCCAATCCCTGCATAGACACTCCTGAGCCATAAAGCCTGAACTCTATGTTATTTGCAACCCTAAACCCGAAGCCCGAAACCCTACACCCTAAACCCTAAACCCTAAACCCTAAACACGAGATGTGTCAAAGACCATGCGGCTGTCAGGCCCGCAAGGCGAATGCATTCATGGCCCAGGCTCGGCAGTTTTGGAACGGGACTTCAAGGATTCAGGCTTTAGGTTTTAAGGGTCTAGGGTCTAGGGTTTAGGGTTTGGGGTTTGGGGTTTGGGGTTTGGGGGGCTTCATCCGTCAAAAGCTGGCGCTGCACCAGTCAGTGTATGGGGTGGTCAGCAGGAGCAGTTAAACCTGCCACAACCAGAAACTGCGAAACCCGAGACCTGAACCGTGATCGCGTGAAGCCCGAAACCTCGATTCGTCCCTTTCACCCCTTAACTTTGCGGCCGCCTTAGAATAGTAACCGCGAAAGGGACCCTAATTTAGAGTAATGACCATATCGTTCACCCAGGCTAGCCGCTATTAATATAAGACGAATGATGTGAATAGAATAAATAGGAAACGAAACGCGTGAACAAAGTGAACCAGCGAACGCACGATTTAAATCATCGCAGTAAAGGCCCATTGTTGTTGGGATTTACTGTATAGGGGCCGGATGTGAGAAAGAAGCGAAGCCGAAGTGAGACCGAAGAAAGATTTAGATCCATAGAAATCTTGACTAATTGTGAAAGGAAACAGGATGTTTTATTATTTGTGGATTTCCAAAAACAATCAGATTGAAAATGTAAAGAAAAAGCAAAGCACGAAGAAGAAATGCAAACATGAGTACGCCCTTATACATAGTTTTTTGGTGTTGAAGAGTTTACATGTTCAAGAAACCAGCGATGACAAATGAAAACGTAAGAAATGCGCGACTAGAATGAAATAAGCACACAAATGAGTATATATCATGAGCCCAAATTCGACCAGCTTCAGCGCATCATTTGGCACAATGACTTGGTACAGTATCATTACACACACGTTCGAGAGAAAAAAAAAAAAGCAAGACAATTCACGATACAATATTTCACCAATTCACCTCTTCTTTGTTCTTATTATCTCTACGTTTTGCTATTGTTGTTCATTTCGTCTTTTTCTGATTTATTTGGCCAAGTCGTTTTATATTACTTATCGGCTTTTATTCTTGGTTTTTACGCTGTCTCGTTTTATACATTTTATTATCGACCGGTTCCTCTCACCTTAGTGAAACCCCAAGCGCCTTAACCCCAGTGAAGCTTTAAAGCCCTAGACCTCAAACCCTCAACCCCTCAGCCCTAAGCCCCAACCACCCTCCCAAGCCTGAACGCTGAAGCCCCAACCCCTTCCCCCCAAAAGAAAGACCCAAAAACCCTTCGGGTAGTCAAAAAAGAGGAATGATCTTGCTAGGCTCCCCCTAAACCCCAAACCCTGAATGCCCCCCTCCCACCCCCGATCCCCCCCCCCCCGCAAACCCTAAACCCTAAACCCTAAACCCTAAACCCTAAACCCTAAACCCTAAACCCTAAACCCTAAACCCTAAACCCTAAAAAAAAAGCCCTAAGCCCTAAACTCTAACCCTAACCTAAACCCTAAACCCTGAACCCTCGGTAAGCTTTGGCAAGGCAGAGAGCGCCCGTGGGGATGCGGTAAAGAAGGCGATGGCCTTGGAGATGAGGCGCTTCCCGGGGAGGTTTGGGGTGAGTTAGGGTCTGAAATTTTTTTTTTTTTTTTTTTGGGGGGGGGGGGTTAAAGAGGGTTTGTAGGGCTTGTAGGTTCAGGTTTTACAGGGCATTTTTAGGTTTAGACTCGTTTAGACCCAAAGCAGGGCCCAAAGCAGTTGAGGGATTCGGCTTTCCGGTTCAGTTGTCGGCCTCGTAGTCCCGTTGCGGCTTTTTTGTTGGTTCCCTTCTGGCCAGAAAAACCAGAGTTTAGGGTTTAGGGTTTAGGATTTAGGGTTTAGGGTTTAGGGTTTAGGGCTTAGGGCTTAGGGTTTAGGGTTTAGGGTTTCCTCTAACGCCCCTTGCCCAGTCTGTAGTGCTTATTCACTCTGACCTGGTAGGTCTAGCCTGCAACCCTAAAGGCTCCATGCACCTCATTATTCTGTACTTGAGCCCTAAAGTCCTGTTTAGGGTTTAGGGTTTAGGGTTTAGGGTTTAGGGTTTAGGGGAGGAGGTACTTCAAGGCCCAAGTATTCCCTATCCAGGTACATGGAACTTTAGGGTTTTCGCAAGAACTCTAGGGGTTGTACCTTGGACCCTTAAGGTTGTAACCTTGGGCTTTGAGGAGCTGTTTTAAAGGACCTTTAGGTCGGATACGGGCCGTATTGGAAGTATATTAAGGGGAACCTTTTGGCATAACTTGATCGTTTGGATGTCGGATTTGGGTTGTTCGGGTAGTTACATGTTCCCTTAGTATGGGCCCGTAAAAGGGGACCCCATATATACCTCTGATATACCCTTAAAAACCTAAACCCTAAACCCTAAACCCTAAACCCTAAACCCTAAACCCCCCTTAGACCCATGGACTTGCGAATCGCAGGCTCCGTACAGCGACGACGTCGGCCAATCCGGCGCCCCCGCGGCATCCGCAGAGCCTCGCTTTGCGAGTGAGTTTCGGGTTTAGGGTTTAGGGTTTAGGGTTTAGGGTTTAGGGTTTAGGGTTTAGGGTTTAGGGTGTAGGGTTTAGGGTTTAGGGTTTAGGGTTTAGGGTTTAGGGCTTCTAGAGTTTAGCTGACCTTGCGCTGAATGCCTACTTGGAACCTCGCAGTCTCGTTGGAATTCTGAATGAAACGCTTATCCTAAACCCTAAACCCCTTCAAAGTCCGTTTGTAAATGCTTTCAAGTCGATATGCCAGGAATCAGGTTTGCGCAAGTCAGCGGCACGAGGCAACCGCACTGATTGGTCAAAGACTTAGGGTTTAGGGTTTAGGGTGTAAGGTCGTCAGTTTAGGTTTAGGGTTTAGGGCTTAGGGACTTTAGGGTTAAGTGACCTTGGTATCTGTACACCCCAAGCCGAAAGACCATACAACCCTAACTTGCCCAGTTCTTGAACTGACGAAGCCTTCTAAACCCCAATCCTTCACCATTCTGGCTACAAAGCTTAAAACCTCCAGTTCTCACACGCCAAGGATTCTTCAGCTCGCCAACAACGTGTCTCGGCCAGCATCCGCACTTACGCTTGTAGGAGTGGCCAACAGTCCAACGTGCTTAGGGTTTTGGGGTTTGGGGTTTAGGGTTTACCTTTAGATTCAGGACTTTTCTGGTTTACTTAGGGCTAGTTAAGGTCCATGGGGTTCAGGTTTAGGGTTCGTGAGTCAAGGGGGTGTCTTGGATGATTCTGGCCCTGCCCAGGATTTGGGGTTTCAAGGCTTCGGGCTTGGGGTTTACGGGCGATCTTGCATGATCATACATTTAAGCGGGAAAACCCTATAAACCCTAAAACCTAAACCCTAAACCCTAAACCCCAACACGCTTAAAACCACACCTGGTATCCTTCCCGCCTCCTTCTCAGGTGGCGAATTGCTACTTCTACGCGGCCCAGACACCAGGATCGGAAGTGGGGTGTGCTCGTGAGCCCTAAACCCTAATTCCTGGGATTTTAGGGTTTAGGGTTTAGGGTTTAGGATTTAGGGGACCCTCCTCTGACCATGAACTCCGACCCTGAACCCTAAGCCCTCGACCCACGTGAAGCCAAAGAGGAAGCAACCAAGCAGCTTGCTGGGCTGGCTTCTGGACCTACAAGCAGCTTGGCTGCTTTCAGAGATCTGCTCCTGTTAAAGCTCCCCAAGACGAGCCCTCAAGCCTACATCGAATCTCGAAGGCCCAAACCCTGAGGTCCTAAAAGGCAGCCATACTAGGACCCAGAGAGTAGGCCCTTTGTCCCCGCCTTTTGGGGTTAGGTTCCCTTAGAAGCCCCCTTGAACCAAAAAGGGCACCTTTTTTTACTCCTAGGCTACTCTTGGGTCTAGTATATGCAGCTGAGGCATCAGTTCATGGAGGGCCTCGAGGCCAACCATGGGGAGACCAAGCAGCGCGATGTTCACTACATCCTTAGCCTGTCGCACAGCCGCAACCGAGCGTTTAGGGTGTAGCTTTCTGTGGGATCCTAAACCCTAAACCCTAAACCCTAGACACCATACTACTGTAGATGAACCCTTAGAGACCCTAAAATTCTCTTATTTCAGTTGCATTCGGTATGTAGACCATAGAAGGGTGAAATGGTTTGATTTCGCCCCAAAAAAACTCGCCTATAGGGTGGGCCTCACAGGCTTTTCAAGTCTTTGGGTGGGTGGGTGAGTGGGGGGGGTTCGGGTTTAGGGTTTAGGTTTAGGGTTTGGGATTTAGGGTTTAGGATTTAGGGTTTAGGGTTAGGGATTTAGGGCTTCTGGCTTGAGGGGTAAAGGGCCATTCGGGCTTTGGTCTGCTTCTTTTTCCCGGTTGCCTAACTGGCTTTACAAGCCTAAGGTGTTTAATATAGGGGTCGAATGGTATTCCCTTATGGTCCCCCAGATAGCCCCTACATTATGTGTTTGTAGAGGCATTCTTACACAGACGTAGCTTCTTTGGACCCCTTTTTCGTGTGTTTCAGACGCCCGACCCCAAGCAGGTATTGGGGTTTAGGGTGCGTGGTTTGTTTGTGGATGTTAAGTAGAGATCAGCTTACGGACGGTAGGTTTCCCCCCAAATTCGGAGAATGTGTGTGAAGAAGAGCTCTTTTCAAGGACATCAACATTAGCATTGTAAATGTTGGCGTTTCCAGGGAGAGTCGGACTTGCAGGTATCAAGTTGGGGGTTGTAGGCGTTGTAGTTTAGGTAGTTTAGGCCCAGCTATTTCACGAAAAAGGGCTTCGGGAACAGGTGTTGTTTTGGAGGGGGCGGGGGTGGGGGGAGCTATAATAAGCCCTATATAAACCCTAAATCCTGAACCCTGAACCCTGAACCCTGAAGCCCAAACCCTCAACCCTCAACCCTCAACCCTCAACCCTCAACCCTAAACCCTCAACCCTAAACCCTAAACCCTAAACTTAAACACTACCTCCGCCGGCGAGAGACGAGGCGCCGGATGCTCTCGGCGCGGTTTTCCAACGCCGAGGACAGGGAGAAGTGCCAAAAGAAGTTCCAGCACTTGTGCCTTCGCTTTGGTTTGAGGTTGAGGGGTAGAGCCTTTCATCGCACAAATGTCGAAGCAGTGTAAAAGGCCGATATTGGGTCTGAGGATTTCTGGTTTTGGGCTTGGGGCAGGGACCGAACGTTTAGCACCGAAAGTTTAGGACCCAAAGTTGAGGGCCCAAAGTTTAGGGTGGAAACTATGGTCTGGTCCAGAGTTTAGGCTTTGGCAGCTGCATGGGGGCGGGGGGGGTGGGGGGTCCCAAATAGGGGTACCCGGCTTGGGGGTCCCTATACTTATGGAATAGGGATCCTCGCAGCATTTTTTTTGTTGGGGGGGGGGGGGGGGGGGGGGGGGTGAGGGGGTATGGTATGAGTTCCTCTAGTTTGGGAAGTCAATACCCCTATCTTCCAGGTGCTGGATACATTTCGGGGAGCCCGATGTCCCTCAGAGCCTCCGCGACCTTCGACGATGAGGCGCGCCATCGCTAAGCTGGCCGGTGAACCCTAAGCCCTAAGCCCTACGCGCTAAGCCCTAAACCCCAAACCCTAAACCCTAAACCCTAAACCCTAAACCCTAAACCCTAAACCCTAAACCCCAAACCCCAAACCCCAAACCCCAAACCCCAAACCCCAAACCCCAAACCCCAAACCCCAAACCCTAAACCCTAAACCCTAAACCCTAATTCTAAACCCAACGCAATAATTGTTGGTTTTGGTTGGTCGTCTTTTTGAAGGGGCAAGAAGTGCCCCGGACTCTTCCTTCCCAAAGCCGAAACCCTGAAACCTTTGTTACGGTTTGGGTTCCTAAACCCTAAACCCTAAACCCTAAACCCTAAACCCTAAACCCTAAACCCTAAACCCTAAACCCTAAACCCTAAACCCTAAACCCTAAACCCTAAACCCTAAACCCTAAACCCTAAACCCAACTGAAGCCGAGCACCGTGGGTAGAAGTCATCGTCGAGGAGCAGCTCTCTATCTGCTCCCGCGAGCAGGACAGCTACATTGCAGCAACGACTAGGGCTTAGAGTAGGCCGTTATTCCCCTTTTTTGTTACGGTTTGGGTTCCTAAACCCTAAACCCTAAACCCTAAACCCTAAACCCTAAACCCTAAACCCTAAACCCTAAACCCTAAACCCTTTCAACCGAAAGGGGCACCCTTTGTATTCCGAGAGGTCACTCCTGGGTCTAGACTAGGCAGCCCTCCTCACCGCCGGCTCCCCCGCAACCACCCATCAAACATGTCGAGCCACCTCTTGGAGCCCAAACCCTAAACCCAAACCCTAAACCCTAAACCCTAAGCCCTAAACCCTAAACCCTAAACCCTAAACCCTAAACCGCTCAGGTCCCGATCCTGCTGCTGATGGCGATCCCCAGGCGCCCCGTCTTGGGAGTCCCTGTCATCACATCGCCAAAATGGGCCACAGTTTAGCGATCTGACTTGGGATGCTCCCCTTATTGAAACAGCCCTGAATAGGGAATATTAATATGTTACCCCCCCCTATTACAATCCCTATTCTCGACTGTTAGTATAAGGGGGAACATCCCTAAACCCTAAACCCCAAACCCTAAACCCTAAACCCTTCCAAGACTGGTCTAGGAGGTGGCTTTGCTTCATGCCTCTCAGCTTTGAGGTTTAGGGTTTAGTAGGGTTTAGGGCTTAGGGTTTAGGGTTTAGGGTTTAGGGCTTTGACTGTTCCTGTGCCCACAGGCTCAGTCCAGGTTCAGTCCAGCTCGACGCACACAGTTGGGCGCATGTCGGTCGTAGAGCGTAATTAAATGCATATCGCATTCCCTTGTTATCAGGGTTTAGGGTTTAGGGTTTAGGGTTGAGCTGTACTACTTGTCGTGGCATAAATTACCAAAACACATCCCGATTCTCTTTGAACAGGCCCCAATACTCAGGAATTTTGGCGAGGACCAGGCTGGGTGGAGATAGTTATTTAGAGAAAGCTAAACAGCTCCCTAAACCCTAAACCCAAAGCCCTAAACCCTAAACCCTAAACAGCTCTGAGTCATAGCCAGCCAGCTATGCGACTTCGGGGGTGTAGCGTGGGGTAATGTAGGGGCTTTGGTGCATCGCAACCCCGAGCAGTCCCTTATAAGCTCCTTTAAAACCAAAATGGGTGCCCCTGCTATGCCTAGGCCACTCATGGGTCTAGTATATAGTGACTACATAAGGTATAGGTAATAAGGTTATGGGTCCATCTAGGGGTCCCTCCATGTACCCCTTAACAGCCGAGCTGTGCGGCTTGACAGGCGATGATAGCCGATCCTGCTCTTACACTACCAGTGCTACCAGGAGGCTCGTGAATGCCGCCGAGACGAGGTAGCAAGGAGAGTAAGAACGCGTTGCTTTGAAGGATCTTTTGGAGGACATGATGCAGGAATTGGCTGCCTTTTTTTTTCACTTCGGCATGTTCAGAACGTGATGAAATGGTTCGAGTCGTCCAGCATGTGCTAGGCACGAAACCCTTGAGCCAAGCAACTCGCAACCGTAAAATGTCAACCCCCTAAATCTAGACTGTTTTGGAGGTTTTACTGGCGGATTAGGGTGTAGAGTTTAGGCTATGTACGGGGTTGGGCAGTATCAGGGCCCTAAACCCTAAACCCTAAACCGTGGTCTGTAGCGGAGTGGCTTCAGTTTAGAGCAATCCGGGGTTTAGAGGGCCTAAACCCTAAAGAACCCCATAAGCTCTAAAGCCTTCAAACGCTCTACTGAGGTACGGGACCCGTAGCAGCAAAGAGCATGCCTCCCACTGCGAGATGGCGAGAGAGTTCCACACTTCTCGGTGCCGTTGATGGGCCATCTGCGTCTGAACTCTCTGTAGCCCTAAGGGTCCATGTACCTTATTATTATGTACTTGGGCCTCAAAGTCCCTAAATAGGAGGTACTTTAAGGTCCAAGTATTCCCTATTGAGGTACATGGACCCTTAGGGTAGGCTACCCAGAGTAGGCCCTTGGGTCACCAGCCGCAACAGCTGCCTGCGCCAAGTCTGCCAGAGATGCGTAAAAGCTCGCGGAGTTGCCTGTGGCCCAGTTGTCCCAATTTCCTTCTACTGTGAATCTGTTGCCTGTAAAGTCAGTCCTTTAAACCATAAGAAAGGACTTCCTTCATAGAATCCGTTAAACAACATGTATTGGGATGTTCCCCTTATACTACTGTTGATCCACCGTAACAGGCCTTAATAAGGATCATCATAGGGGTACTATACTCCCTAAGGACTGTCAGTATAAGGGGGAACATCCCACTTGTCAACGTATATGTAAATATGTATGTCGGAGAGCGTGCATGTGCATGCGCACGTGCATGTGCATTTGTATGTGTTCATACATACATACATACACACAGGGGAGGGGTTCAAGGCTTTAGGACTCCTCCGGTGCGAAGTGCGGCAGAATCCGCTCCCTGAAGCTCAGGAAACGAAGAAGAGTTTTGGGTTTAGGGTTTAGGGCCCGAACCTCTCACCCGAATTTCCAAGCCCCCAATCCGCACCACCCGAACTCACCCGCATCCTCCAAATGCGCCCTAGACCTCCATAGCTGGCCCCCTTTCCGAAAACATCCAAACTCACCCTAAACCCTAAACCCTAAACCCTAAACCCTGTAGAGCCTTGGGGCCCCCGAAGCGAACCTGAGAGCTCTATATGGGGCTGATTTTTGTTTTAGTTGAGGGTTTAGGGTTTAGGGTTTAGGGTTTAGGGTTTAGGGTTTAGGGTTTAGGGTTTAGGGTCAGCGTTTGGGGGTTATAAGACCATGGCCAGGCGCATCCCGAAGGTTGCAACGAGCCCTGCAAGCCCGAAGCCCTAAAGCCCGAAACCCTGAAGGTCACACAGAAGCCTAGAAGCCCCGAAGCCTGAAACCCCAGCAGCCTAGAAGCCCAAAAGCCCAAAAGCCTAGAACCCTAAAGCCCTAAAGCCCTAACGCCCTGAAGCCCTAAAGCCCTAAAGCCCTAAAGCCCTAAAGCCCTAAAGCCCTGCACCCCATATCCCGAAAATCCCAAAAACCACCTCACCTCCTTAGGCCCGTGTACATCACTGAGCTGACGCAGCTCACAGATCGCGTGGCGCCCTTTCCCAGGGAGGCGGGCCCTGTGTGCGTTTAAGGCTTCGGGTTCAGGATTCAGGGTGGAGGCTTTGGGGTTTGGAGGTGGTAGGGGTTAATGTTGCACCCGCAATATTCTAGGGGGACGCTATTATGAAAAGTTTTCCGGCTATTCAGGATCTGGACCCTTTGTTTTGGGGGTCCGCTATAATGAAAAGATTTCGGGCCGGGCCTGTTTTTTTGAGGGTGTCAGGAAGGCATAAGCTTCTCGAGAAAGAGAGATACTTGAAGCCTGAAGCCTCGACCTGTCCAGGATCTCCGACAATCTTCTTTTTTCAGGGCGCCTTTTCTTTATAAATTCCTTACTTAAAACTAGATGATTCCATAGGCGAATCATATCCGGAAAGGGGGTACCTTACGGAGGCCTCCGGACACACTTTAATACCTTTGTTTGGGGGCCCGCTATAATGCAAGTCTCCCGGGGCCAGGGGCTCAGTCCTTCGGTTTTCAGGAAGGCATAAGCTTTCTCGAGAAGGAGGGATACTTGAAGCCCTCCTCGACCTGTCCAGGATCTCCGACAATCTTCTTTTTTCAGGGCGCCTTTTCTGTATAAATTCCTTACTTAAAACTAGATGATTCCATAGGCGAATCATATCCGGAAAGGGGGTACCTTACGGAGGCCTCCGGACACACTTTAATACCTTTGTTTGGGGGCTCGCTATAATGCAAGTCTCCCGGGGCCCGGGGCTCAGTCCTTCGGTTTTCAGGAAGGCATAAGCTTTCTCGAGAAGAAGGGATACTTGAAGCCTGAAGCCTCGACCTTTCCAGGGTCGCGGGGTAGCTTAGGGAGGCTCCGGACCCCCCCCCCCCCGACTGTTTGGGGTCTTTTTTTATTCAGGCTCGCGACTGTTGAGGGGGGGGGGGGGGGGGGGGGGGGGGTAACTAATTAAAGCAGGTCCAACATTAGGGTTCAGGGTTTAGGGTTTAGGGTTTAGGGTGGAGGATTTTTGGAGTTTACAGAGAATTGGGGTTTAGGGTTTGGGGTTTGAACTCGGGGTGTTGAGCTTGTCAAGCCCGTAGCCGATGCCGGCTAATTATAGCAAACTTGGTAGCCGGGTGGTGCCCTTTGCCCCTTTAGTGGCTCAAGGCTCCGTGATAAAGCGAGCAACCCAAACAGGGGTACCCCTAAACCCTAAAACCCTAAAACCCTGTACCCTAAACCCTCTATAAAACCTTACACCCTGCTTCAAGAGAGCCCCAAAAGGGTCCCCGACTGTCGTTATTTTTCGTATGGTTACTGGGCTACCTACCACAAATTCCAAACCCCAAACCCTAATCCCTAAACCCTAAACCTTAAACCCTAAGCCCTAAACCCTAAAGCCCAAACCCTAAACCAGTGAAGTAAGGATCCGCTTTGAAGTTCCCTTTTTTCTCGTTCGGGGGAGGCGGCCGACGCCACCTTGAAGCAGGCCGGCCTGCACGCATGTGCATGCACAACCCGCTGTGAAAATAGGCTTTAGGGTCTAGGGTTTAGGGTTTAGGGTTTAGGGTTTGCGAGGCCGCAGTGTGACGATGGGCGCATGTCATGATGTGACGAGTGCAGGAGTGGCAGGGCAGCCGAAGCCAGCAAAATGCGCTGGCAGCTGTTCAAGCGGCCGGGCTCATAGACAATCGTTTCTTCACGCGCAAGAATCAGTTGGCAGGACTGCGACACTTTCGCAGCCTACCTCACAGCTCTAATGCAGCTTCTTCTTGGGGATTTCTATCGTTGTGCTAGGGTTTACCCCGCGCAGGAGCTGCGTTCGAGGAGAGTTTGTTAGGAGGGATCAGGGCGCCTCGAAACTTCGAAGAACCCGCCTGGAACCCTATAAACCTTGTAATTATACAATTAGGGGGGGGGGGGGTACTCTATTCCCGATTCAGGACTGCTACTATAGGGGGGGGGTCAACATCCCAACCTAAGCCCCAAGACCCTAAAGCAAGAATGGAACCCCGAAGCTCTCCCGAAACCTTAGGGTTTAGGGTCTACAAGCCAGAGCCCCAAAAGCCCCCAGGGTCGCCCTAAACCCTAAACCCTAAACCCTAAACCCTAAACCCTAAACCCTAAACCCTAAACCATAAACCCTCCAGCTGCAACTTCCAAGGCCGGCCTGCCAGAAGCACCCCACGCCGCGGCGTCGTTGGGCCAGGCCGGCTCTTGCGGAGAGGCTTAGGGTTTAGGGTTTAGGGTTTAGGGTTTAGGGTTTAGGGTTTAGGGTTTACGGTAATCAGGGTTTAGGGTTAACGTGGCTTAAAGTGAACCTTGTATACGGGGGTTGTGGGCACAGGGCTTTGATGGCCTCAGCAGTATGATGTGAGACCGCAGCCATATACGAAGAGGTGCCCCGTAGTGGGGCTATATACGCTGCATTGTAGGCTATGCGCTCCTTAGCGGCGGAGAGCACAGCAAGGTTCTGGTTTTTGGGTTTCGGATTTAGGCCTACTAAGCCTTAAACCCCCAAACCGTAAACCCTAAATCCCCTAAACTGCAAAGTGCTCGCCCTGCCAGGTTTACTGCGTCAACATCCCTGGTCATGGGCCTGTTGCTGTCAAGGTTCAGAGGCCAGAAGGGTTTTGGGTTTAGTTTTAGGGTTAAGGGTTTAGGGCTTGGGGTTGCGGTTTCGGGTTTAGGGTTTAGGGTTCAGGGTTCAAGGTTCAGGGTTCAGGGTTTTGGGTTCGGGATCTCTAGGGTGCTCACACAGTAGGGTCTCAGTCATTTGTGCCGTGCTGGCCTTCCCGGCTTGAAATCCAAGCTGTGTGAGGTATGGGTCGTTTCAGCCTGGGCTTTGACTGTTGGGGCCAAGTAGCTTGGGTTTAGGGTTTAGGGTCTAGGATTTAGGGTTTATAAAGATGATGTGGTGGACAAAGCCCCATTAAAACTGCGACTGCGTGGGCTCCTAACCTGAACGAAGCCCATGCAAAGAAATCCCTTCCCATCTCAAGCCGAAGGCGAATCAGCGCTAACTGTTATCCTCCAGCAAGAAGCCTGAGACTAGACGATGTGATTCTATCTTGTTGCAAGGTCTATTTTGAGGTTGTAGGACTGTCCCGAGCTCAAGTAGCCCCTACCCAAGGATCAAGGGCCAAACAAGGCCTTATTGGCCGTTGCTTTGATTTGGGGGCGGGTGGGGGGAGCGGGGGGGGGGGGGGGGGGGGCGGGAAGAGGGGGGGTGGGGTAACGAAGAAAGCCCTAACCCTAAACCCTAAATCCTAGACCCTAAACCCTAAACCCTAAACCCTAAACCCTAAACCTGTTTGCCCCACACACTAGAAAGCCAAGATGTTGGTGGAGTCTCACTAAAGCCCTGAGCATCTTGAGTTCCCCACGCCGAGATCCGCAATCCCCTCAGCCTCCACAAAACAAGGGGGGTTTAGGGTTTAGGGTCTAGGGTTGGAGTTCTCCAAATTAATATTCCCTTTTGGGGTGCAGGTTTGTGCTCACGGTGTCAGGCCTTTAGTGAGTTTAGGGTTTTGTTTTTTGTTTGGGCGGTTCTTTTGCGTTTGGGATTGGGATGTTCCCCCTCATACTAGCAGTCCTTAATCGGGATTATAGTAGGAGGTACTTTAGTATGAGGGGGCACATCCCCAGGGTTTAGGGTTTAGGGTTTAGGGTTTAGGGTTTAGGGTTTAGGGTTTAGGGTTTAGGGTTTAGGGTTTAGGGTTTAGGGTTTAGGGTAACTGTACTTATACCTGTACCACTTCAGGGGCTGATAAGTGGGTTATAAGTGCAGTTATAATTGGTTAGTAAGTACCACGAACCTCCGAGTAGAAGACGCTAAGGGCTCGAAGCCCTAAGGAGTAGTCCTATCATGCCCAGCAGCTACCGTTTTAGGGTTTAGGGTTTAGGGTTTAGGGTGTAGGGTTTAGGGGTTAGGGTTTATTAAGGTTTTGAAAAGCAACCCCTTTCGTCTCCAAGGACTTAGGTTACACTTCAACTTAAAGTTCAACCCCCCTCTTGCAGCAAAACATGCTGTATCCATCTCTAAAACCCCCCTAAACATGAAACACCCGCACAAAATTCCTTGGACAACTCCAAGCCCTCTCGAAAGTCTCACAATAAACATGTTGAGGATAGCCTTCACGAATGCGTTTAAACAACCCTACAACTCTGAACCCTACACCCTAAACCCTATAAACCCTAAACCCTAAACCCTAAACCCTAAACCCTAAACCCTAAACCCTAAACCCTAAACCCTAAACCCTAAACCCTAAACCCTAGCCCTAAACCCTAAACCCCATAAACAGCCCTGAACTCAAAAAAAAAACCGTGGGCTCAAGTTGCAGGGCATGTTGCCAAAGGCCACTGGGGGAGTTGTCGAAGACAACGTTGCCCCTGCGGCCTGCGGTGACCGATAGCCCTTGTTAGGGGTGAGTCCTGAAGGGTTATACGAGCTGTGTATGGTTTCAAGGTTTCGGGTTTCGGGTTAGGGTTAGGGTTTCCTGCGTTTATTATGGGGTGATGGGGTTATAAGGCTTGAGGGTTCCAGGGTTCTAGGGATATGGGGTTTAAGGCAGTCGTATGGTTGAGCTACTCGAAGCCCAACTACGTGGGAATAGCATGCCTTGTGACTCCACTGTCTCTGTACACTTATGCAGAACAACTCCATGACCCTAGCCCAGTTCCTGGGGTTTCGGGGCCGTAGACCTTCACTCCTTCCCGCGCAGCCCCCATGGGATAAGATGCAGCAACATGGAGCCAACTCCACTCGTCCGGTCACAGGGCTCGTGTCACAGACAGGGCGGCAGTTCATGCGCAAGGGAAGCTTCATCGCCGGGATTGGTGACCAGATGGTGAGCTCATCCCTGAAGCCCCGCACCTTGCAGAAGAGCGTCTCAGAAACCTAGCAGCTGAATTGAGTACACCTTGCACATGTTGGGGGATGCTGCAATCCCCTAATGGACCTGAAAGTGTACACTTCTTTTGTGGGGTTATGAGCTCGGCAACTAAGGACACCGTCCTCCTGCCGCCACTGAAGCCGAATCCTGGCCGCCCCTCTACCGTGGCAAGAAGGGAGAACCGTCGCAGGCAGATGCTGGCAGACCAGATGCTTGTGCTTTTTTAGGGTTTAGGGTTTAGGGTTCTGTGTTTTGAAGATTCTAACTCGTGCGACTTGCAACGGGTAATATCTCTCCTTATAAGGCTCCAAGAGCTCGTATTTCTAGGTCTTTCCTGATATGAAAGGCTCTTTGGGGGCTATTTTGGGCCTAAGACAACAAAGCAGGTTGCCATTTCATCTCGTGCTACTTGCAACTGGTCATATTTTCTAAGATTCAGACAGCAAAGGATGATCGAGCGGACGGAGAGGTCCGAGATCGTCGCGGAAGCTGGGCTCGTCGCGGATCGACTCGACAGCTTCGAGGTCCTCTCGGAAGCCTTCGGCAACGATGTGCTTTGGGGGCAAGTTCTGGCTGGCTCTTCGTAGGGAATCGTCGTAGGGAATGAGGGCCCCTATGTGATCCCTTAAAGGGTATGAATATGTGAAAGAGAAATATATGTATATATATATATATATACATATATATATATACATGTATATATATAGGGCCATCATTCCCTCATTCCCTACTAAGAACCAGGGGGCAAGTTTCAGACACTGCTTTAAGCGGCCCTGTATTGTCAACCCCTCAACCCTCATTCTCAAGTCAAGCCTCACCAGACAACCAGGCAACCTCACCCTAGACCCCAGACCCGAAACCCTAAACTAACCCTAAACCCTAAACCCTAAACCCTAAACCCTAAGCCCTAAACCTTAAACCCTAAACCCTAAACCCTAAACCGAACAAGTGTAGGATCATCTTGCCAAGGTCCGGGGCGTTACGGATCGCCTGGAGGACATGGCGCGCAGCATCCGCTTCGAGAACTGGCGGTCCAAGCAGGAGGCGGGAGCAGGGGCTGTGAGCACCGTTTCCTTTGCAGAGGGTTTATCGGGTTTGTCCCCCTGGGGGGTTCATAGGCTTTGTAGGGTTTGTAGGCTTTGTAGGGTTTATAGGGTTTATAGGGTCTACAGGATTTATAGGGTTTGTAGGGTTTATAGGGTTTGTGGGGTTTATAGGGTCTATGGGTTGTATAGGGTTGAGGGTGTAGGAGTTGGGGTTTGGTGTTCAGGGTTTCGGGTTTGGGGTTTGGGGGTTGGGTTTTGTGCGCAACCCAAGACCCTGAAAGACTCCAAGAGCTCCCAGGCATGCACCTGTATATGTGTTTAGGGTTTAGGGTTTAGGGTTTAGGGTTTAGGGTTTAGGGTTTAGGGTTTAGGGTTTAGGGTTATGAATGAAGTAGGGTTTATATTACTGCTATTGGTGAGTGTTTCTAAGGATCCTTTTTTCAATATTGGTGAGTGTATATACTTGGTGTCCTTTTGGGGATACAAGGGAAAAACCCTACTTCATATGTGTTCCATACTCGGAAGGCCCCTGGATATTTAGAATTCCCCTTGTTGGGTTTAAGAGGATCCTATTTCGGAATATTTTTAAGAGGCTTTTAAGAGCCATCCTGGCATATCTACTGGCGAGTGTATATGTAACTTCATATAGCATACTGGCGAGAGTATTTTACTAAGAACAAGTTTTATATCATGTTCTATACATGCATACATACATAACTATATAAATATATATATATATAGAGTTAAATCGGTAGACAGCTCGACGAGTAGTCAGGGCGAGTAGATAAGTACAGGTAGCTGGACAGTTTTCTCTCTCTCTCTCTCTCTCGCTCTGTCTCTCTCTCTCTCTCTCTCTCTGTGCACATTGCCTCTGGCACAGAGGTACCTTACACAAGCCTTCCGAAGGTGCTGTAAATGGATTGAGAAGTCTGTTGGGCACTTGAAACCCTCTTGAAAGTGCCTACCTTAAGTTTTAGGTTCAGGGTTTAGGGTTTAGGATATAGGGTTTAGGGTTTATGAGGTATGAGGTTTAGGGTTTAGGGTTTAGGGTTTAGGGTTTAGGGTTTAGGGTTTAGGGTTTAGGGTTTAGGGTTTAGGGGACAAAGCCCCAAAACCCAGAAAACTCGGCCACTTCCCCAACCAGGAGAAGGAGCGCAAGCGCCGGGAGGAGGAGAAGCGGCTCCAGGAGGAGGAGAAGCGCAAGGTCCAGGGGTTTAGGGTTTAGGGTTTAGGGTTTAGGGTTTAGGGTTTAGGGTTTAAGGTTTAGGGTTTAGGGTTTAGGGTTTAGGGTTAGGGTTTAGGCTTTGAAGGGTGGGGGTCGAGGATCTGGGGTGCGTGGCCTTGCATGTCTGATTTCAGGGTCTAGTAAGTCTAGTATATCGCAGGGTGTGAATCGCGAGCCTCTATACCGGCTCCCCCTCATACTAACCCCGCCCCTACCCCCCTACTATTGCATACTCTCAGTATCATTATATTAGTAGAGAAATAGTAAGGCAAAAAGTTTTTGATATGAGGGGGCGGGGAGGGAGGGTTCAATGCTTGAAGGAAGGAAGGAAGGGTTTAATTAGGGTTTAGGGTTTAGGGTTTAGGGTTTAGGGTTTAGGGTTTAGGGTTTAGGGTTCAGGGGAAATTGCCGGCTCAGGAACGTCCCTCCATGAACAAAGACGCCTGCCCAGGCCCGCAAGCGAGAGCAGGAGGCTGCGGACCCGAAGAAGAAGGCGCGAGGGGTAGGGTTTAGGGTTTAGGGTTCAAGGTTCAAGGTTCAGGGTTTAGGGTATTTAGGGTTTAGGATTTAGGGTTTAGGGTTAAGGTTTTAGGGTTTAGGGTTTAGGGGCAAGGGTCTAGGGTTCAGGGTTTAGGGTTTAGGGTTCAGCGTTTAGGGGAGCGGTTGCCGGATCTCAAATGTTTCACACCTGAGGCTCTAGCTAGAAAAGCCTATACACACCTGGTAGCCCTGTGGTGCCCTCTTGCCCTTTTGGTGGTTCGAGGTTCCCTGAATTATATAAAGTATGCAAAGTAACCAACCGCAAAAAAGGTATCCTCATCATAATATGGTCACTGAGCTACCATTCATATACAGGGTGACTGTGCACCCATACATCATGTACCTTCCGCAAAGGGTGTATAGCTTAGACTATGTGGGGCTTTTCAAGGGCCTCTACAGAGCAGAAACTCCCAACGCAGGCCCCCACTCCCTAAACTCAAGCTCCTGAACAACAAGGAAGAGAATAGGGTTTAGGGTTTAGGGTTCCAGGATTTAGGGTTTAGGGTTGAGGGTTTAGCCCGAAATTCGGCTTCTTTAGACGCCACAGGTGGCCCTGCGCATCGAGAACCGGCGACGCTTCGACGGGGACGTCGCGAAAGCGACGATTCCAATGCACCCCGTAGAGGCGCTCGCACGGGTTCCGGAAGAAAAGGGTTTAGGGTTTAGGGTTTAGGGTTTAGGGTTTAGGGTTTAGGGTTTAGGGTTTAGGGTTTAGGGTTTAGGGTTTAGGGTTTAGGGTTTAGGGTTTAGGGTTTAGTGATGATCAAGCCCCAAGACCGCTAAAAGGAAGCAAGAATTAACTCGCTCCGTAGAAACTTACGGGTTCTTGGTAGGGAGTTAAGGCAATGTAGTGTCGCAATATTGGGGGTTCAGGGTTCGGGTTTATGGTTCAGGGTTTAGGGTTCAGGGCAACTCCTCTCAGGGGGCCTTTCTCTCTGTGGCGCTTAGAGGGCTCAATGAGACACTCTTTAGGTTTTAGTTTTTGGCCGGCAGTAGGGCACCCAAGAACCTCCCGCAACCCGGTCGGGGTTTAGGGTTTCGATGGCCTTAGACTCTAGACCTAAACCTTTAACTTAAAAACCCCACACCCTGAACCTGTAAACACCCTACCCTAAAATTTGATAAGCTCTATATGTATATGTGTATGAGCCTTAAACCTGAAGCCTTAAACCTGAAAATGTTATGCCTTGTAAACCTTATAAACCCTATAAACCTTACAGACCCTATAAACCTTATAAACCCTATAAACATCCAAATCTTATACACCCTATAAACCTTATAAGCCTTATCAACCTTATAAACCTTAAAAACCTTACACATCTCATAAATCCTATAAACCTTATAAACCTATTAAACCTCATAAACATTATGAACCTTGCAAACCTTATGAACCTAATTAATCTTAAAGACCTTTTAAACCTCAACCCCATAAACCTTATGAACCTTATAAGCCCCATAAACCTTTACATCCTTATGAACCTAATAAACCTCATAAACCTTAACATCCTCATGAGCCTTTAAACTTTATAAACCGTATAGACCTTTAACACCTTATAAGCCTTAAACCTTAAAAACCTTAAAAAAACCCAAACCCCAAACCCCAAACCCCAAACCCCAAACCCCCAAACCCCAAACCCCCAAACCCCCAAACCCCCAAACCCCAAACCCCAAACCCCAAACCCCAAACCCCAAACCCCAAACCCCAAACCCCAAACCCCAAACCCCAAACCCCAAACCCCAAACCCCAAACCCCAAACCCTGAACAAACCTTACAAGCTTTAAACCTTAAACATCTTATTCCCCAGGTGGATGGGCCCTCGGGTCGCGAGACGGTGTCCCTGGTGGACGTGGCTTACTTCGCCTTTAGTTGAACTTTAAGTTTTTCCGGGTTTCCTTATATTTAGTAGGAATAATAAAGGTTTACCTCTTGTTTGAGCTTTTTGGGGTTTCCTTATATTTAGTAGGAATAAAGGTTAACATCTTTTTTGAGCTTTTTGGAGTTTCCTGATTAATTAATTGGAATAATAAAGGGTAACCTATTCTTTCCTCTTGGTCATTGGAGAAGTAAGGTGGAGAACCTGCAGAGCCGGTGTCTGCAGCTCCGAGGAGCTTCCAGGGGGCCTCCCGTTTTGTTTGGGGTTTGGGGTTTGGGGTTTAGGGTTTGGGGTTTGGGGTTTAGGGTTTAGGGTTTAGGGTTCAGGGTTGAGGTGTTCAAATTTGGGTTTAGGATTGCAGGTTTCGGGCTGGAAGAGAGGGGACCAGACTCAAATACAATCTTAGCATCGATTGGGGGCTAGCCTTATGCAACTCGCTCTACGCGAAGAGCACGGGACCTCAAAACCTCAAAACCCTAAACTCCATAAACCCTAAACCTGTGGGCTTTGAGGATTTCGTTCTTATCTCCCGAGACCTATGGTACAACGTACAGGCCCCCTCATAATGTCGGCCCTTGCTGATTCTAAGGGAAAACTGGCCCACATGAGGGCCATACCCGGTTGTTCCGCAAGGCCAGACATCTTGTTAGCCCAGTGGTACTGTGCCCTTCGGGGTTAAGGTTTAGGGTTTAGGTTTTTTGGTTCTAGGTTTCCATATAAAATAACCCCAAAAAGGGCACGCAGACTATCATATGGTTACTGGGCTACCAAGGCATTGGGGTTCTTCTATCAAGGATCCCCTGCCACCTACATGTCCCCGACGCCCATCCGAAGCTCTGAGCCTTGAGCCCAACACCCTAAACCCTAAACCCTTAAACCCTAAACCCTAAACCCTAAACCCTAAACCCTTGCACGGGGAGGAAAGGCCGGTATCGAGGCCTTCATCGACATGGTCCGCACGCGGGAGGAGCGCGAGGCCATAAACCCGAGGAAGCTTCGCGAAATCTGGGTGTAGGGCTTAGGGTTTAGGGTTTAGGGTTTAGGGTTTAGGGTTTAGGGTTTAGGGTTTAGGGTTTAGGGTTTAGGGTTTACGGCTCTCATATTAAAACCCCCAAAGCTCAATAGAGAGAGGCCCGGAAGCACGTATAGACCCACATCTGGGTGGCAGGCTTTCATGTTGCGTGACCGTGGACGGCATGCAAGCTAAAATGGGCATCGCACATATATGTGTATGTATGTGTGTATGTATATGTACATATGTAGATATACATTTCACTCACAGCATATATACACTTATATGATACTCGTACTGGTAAACTGCCTACTACGGTAGAGGACCATGAACAAACCCTACCTGTTCACCCCACAGACAACTCGCAACCCTTGCTTCCCCAACATTACTTTAAAAGGGTTTACGGCTTAAGGTTTCGGATTTAGGGTTTAGGGTTTAGGGTTTAGGGTTTCTAGGTACGAAATGGGGTGCCGCACTCCTTCGATCCTTGCGAAGAACCCTTGAACTCCTAAAGCCTAACCCTGAAGCCTGTTCCCATAAGTTCGGGTTTTTGGGTCTGGCAGCTCTCAGACTTCAAGTTGTTTTGTGAATTAGGTTTTGGTTCTTGGGCCCTTGGTGGCCTCATTCGTGGAAAGGCTTCAGTGGTTAGCAGGGCCTTTGGTATTTAGTGGGCTGAAGCGCGGACAGCCTCTTGAACAAAACCTACAACCACTAGCCGCGCCAGGACAACGTTTACGCTCTTGCGTTCTGCTCCTTCAACAAAAGGTCTAAGTTTGGAGATTGCCCGCCCCTAAAAGAGAAGTGGTGGTATCGCAGATTCTCACCGTAAAGTAGGACCCAGAGAAAGACCAGACATTTGAGGACCGACCAAAACCAAACCCTAAGCCCTAAACCCTAAACCCTAAACTGAGGAAGGACGTCGATGCCCTGTCGCCCCAGTCGGCACGCTCCACTGGAATGAAGTCCTCCATCAGCGGCTACAGCCCTTGGTCTGTCAGGGTTGTGAGTTTAGATGGCCTGGGCTATATGTTGTATACCCACAAGCCCTAAGCCCAAAATAAGCAAGCCCCAATAGAGGCTTCATATAGGGGTCGGAATAACTAATAGTGTTCCCTTCTGGTCCCTTTATAAGTATATACTGTAATCACCCCCCCCCCCCATCACACCCTATGCTAATTATTCACGCACCAAAAACTACGGCTAGTGAGGTTGCTGTGGCTTCTCATATCCAGGGCTTTAGCGTTCAGTTCCAAGACCTCGTCTAGTCTTCTTGCCCCCTAGACTGAACACAGCTCACAGCACCACATCTCGGGTTTTCGGGTTTAGGGTTTTAAGGCTTAGGGTCGTTCATTGTGGGCTTTAGGATTCTATGATGTCGGGCACGCCCGGCCTTGCACGCAACCCCTCTTAGCCAGCTAGGCTCGGCTTTCTGGTTCGGTTCAATGAAGCTCCCCTTTCGCAGGTCTTTTGAGCATTGAGCTCCATTCTGCTTGGTAGCCCAGTGGTACCCTCTACCATTTTTTTTTGGTTCTGGGTTTCCCTTCGCAAGTGGCCCTAAACCCTAGACCCTACACCCTAAACCCTAAACCCAAAAAAGGTTGCCCTTATGCTACCAAGCCCTCAGTGGTAATTTCTACGGGCGGGCCCAAGAAAGACCAGCTCCCAAGCAGCTCTCCACTTCCAGCCGGCCTTCCCCAGAAACCCTACTTAAGTAAACCCTGCAAGCCCGCAAAAACCCTTTAAACCCTATAAACCCTATAAATCCTAGAAACCCTAAACCCTCAACCCTAAACCGTATAAATCCTAGAAACCCTATCAACCCCATGAACCCTGTACTTCCTAAGGACACAAAACCTTCATTCTTGGGACTGTTCGGATGCCCAGGTACCCTAAACCCTAGAAACCCTAAACCCTAGAAACCCTAAACCCTAGAAACCCTAAACCCTAGAAACCCTAAACCCTAGAAACCCTAAACCCTGGAAACCCTAAACCCTAGAAACCCTAAACCCTAGAAACCCTAAACCCTAAACCCCTACAAACCCTATAACGGATGCCCAGGCACCCGCGACTCCCTCCAGGAATTGACCTGGGATGAGCGACGTCACGGCGTGCTGGCACGGAGGCAGCGGGATGGGCCGACAATGAATAGGCATGAATCTACGGTTTAGGGTTTAGGGTTTAGGGTTTAGGGCTACTAGGTAAGCAAGTAACGAATATCATCATGTAAATTGAAAACTTAGTAATGGCTCATAAGAACACGTAGTAGGTAGTCAGCAGATTTCTAGTGGGTATCCGTTTGTGAACATCTTGCTCATAAGCAGTTTGTGTCATGCGGCTGTGATTTTATCCCGCTGGTCCTTCCCTTTGTTCTCCTTCTGGTTTCTTCTATTTTCGTTCGTTTGGGGGGTTGGGGCTTTCGGCGGTGGTTCTGCGGAGGGTATACCCTTAAACCCTAAACCCTAAGCCATTCTGATATTAGGTTTTAGGGTTTAGGGCTTGGGCTTAGGCTTTAGGCTTTAGGGTTTAGGGCTTAGGGCTGCTTAAGCGCCCAAGGCTCCAAAAAGAGCCCCTAAAAGCCCTAAAGCCGAAAAAGTGCCTTGTGCAACTGCAAGGTCGGGACCGTGGGCACCCCAGTATATGGTTCCTTGTGTAGTCTAGAGTTTAGGGTTCAGGGTTTAGGGCTCAGGGTTTAGGATCCGTAGCATGGGCGCCCTTGCTATATGGTCAGTTCTCTAATTATGGTCCGGTTTTGGGGTTACTACTGTAAAGCGGCCCCTGATATGTTGGGCACCCCAAACGAGACCATAATCTAGAGAACTGACCATATGTAGTGTATATAAGGGGCTACCCTAGACTAGACCTTAGACCCTAAACCCTAAACCCTAAAACCTAAACCCTAAACCCTAAACCCTAAACCCTAAACCCTAAACCCTAAGCCCTAAACCCTAAACCCTAAACCCTAAACCCTAAACTCTAAACCCTAACCTCCCGCAAACGTATAGCGTCTTGCAGCCCACCTCAGGCAGGCGGTTCGTGTGGAGACCATCCTCAAGAAGTTGTGCTCCATGCGAAGCAGCCTACCTATGGACCCTCAGCGGGCTTTAGGGCTTAAAGAATCTGAGGGGTTTAGGGTTTAGGGTTTAGGGTTTCGGGCTTAGGGTTTCGGGTTTAGGGTTTAGGGTTGCGGGTTTAGGGTTTGGGGGTTTGGGGTTTGGGGCTTAGGGTTTAGGGTTTGCGGCACAGGGAGAGAGCGGGGGGGCGAGGGGACCCTAAACATCCCTAAACCCTACTCCCCGGTCTTGGAGTTCAAAGTTTTGGGGTCTGAAGTTTCTAGGGAGTGGGTGAGTCAAGGGCTTTGTGCAGGGTTTTGGGTTTGTGCAACCAACCGTATGATAGGCCCTAAACCGTGAACGAATTTGACCCTAAGCCCCAAATCCTAATCTCGAAGCCCCTAGATGCGTATGGGTATTTCCCAAACTAGGGGTACCCCTTCTTATACCCCAAATAGAAAAGAATCCCTTTGAAGGGACCCCACCCCTTTTAAAAAACATATATATATATATATATATATATATATATATGTAAATATGTATATATATATATGTATATATATGTATATATCTATATATGTATATATATATATATATACCCCCTTTTTTCGGAACCCCCCCGGTAGAAGCCCTAAATCCTGAGCCCCTCAGAGGACATGTGTATCGAGCTGGGCTCCCTGCAGGCCCAACCAGCTTTCAGGGCTCTATTGGGGTTTCGTTTGGGGTTTAGGGTTTAGGGTTTAGGGTTTAGGGTTTAGGGTTTGGGGTTTGGGGTTTGGGGTTTGGGGTTTGGGGTTTGGGGTTTGGGGTTTTCGTGTCCTGTCGCCAGTACCAAAAGGAGGGGGAAATTATCCTACGTTGGTTCTCGCTGGTTATCAATAAGGTTTTTTTGTTTTTTGCAGGGGTGGATGGGTGCAACGGCCACTGACCTGTGAGTTGCTTGTACATATCGGCAAAACCCTAAGCCCTAGGCCCTCGACCAGACAGAGGGTTCTTACGGACTTCAAGGTTTGGAGCTTAGGGTTTAGGGTCTGGGGTTTAGGGTTTAGGGTTTAGCGAGACTTGGCTTCAGGGCTTCGTTGGAGTTGGCGATGTTGGAGTTGGCCATAGTAAGGGACTTTTTTCGCCACCCAAAATAGTCGGATCCTCTTACAATAATAAGGACCCCTAGTATTTGCTTAAGAACCCCTCTAAAACTCACGGTAGGAATCCCCGTATTCCCCTTATGAGGAAGAATTTGCGGGGATTCTTAAGCAAATAGTTGGGCTTTCTTACAGGTCTTATACAGTTCGGGGTTTGGGGTTTGGGGTTGAGGGTTTAGAGTTTAGGGTTTAGGGTTTGTAGAGATCATCCGGTACAGGTTTCAGGGTTCAAGCAGAGTCTAGCAGTCCAGGACGTCTTGGAAGCCAAGACCCAAGGAGCCTCAACCTCCCAAGGACTTGAAGCCACCCTAAACCCTAAACCCTAAACCCTAAACCCTAAACCCTAAACCCTAAACCCTAAACCCTAAACCCTAAACCCTTAACCCTTAACCCTTAACCCTTAACCCTCAACCCTCAACCCTCAACCCTCAACCCTCAACCCTAAACCCTAAACCCTAAACCCTAACCCTAAACCCTAAACCCTAAACCCTAAACCCTAAACCCTAAACCCTAAGCTTCGGGATCATGTGGGGACTCAGGCCTACTTCGACTTCGAGAAGAGCCGTCCGGAAACGGAGGTCGATTCCCTGCAGACGGTTGTCGCCCAAAGCCTGAGCCTGCGGCTGCACATATACGGTTTCGGGTTTAGGGTTTAGGGTTGAGGGTTTAGGGTCGAGGGTTTTTAGAGTTTAGAGTTTAGAGTTTATGGTTTGGGCGGGCTTGGGGCGGGTAGATGTTGTGGGATTGAGTGACCAAAATACCCGAGAGCACGTAGGTTTCGGGACCCTACAAGAGGGCTCTTCATCAGACACTGTCCAAGGCTTGGGGTTCTTTTGCGCGTGCACCCTAGACCCTACAACCCTAAACCCTAAACCCTAAACCCTAAACCCTAAACCCTAAACCCTAAACCTAAGCCCTACATTACCCCAAACCCTATAAGACTCAGGAACGGGCTCATCGACAACTTGGCCAACAAGCTCGCCGCCGCACCGGAGCTCTGGCTTAGGGTTGTGTCCAGGGCAGAAATACGAAACCCTAAACCCTAAACCCTAAACCCTAAACCCTAAAACCCTAAAACCCCTAAAACCCTAAGACCCTAAGACCCTACAACCCTATAAACCCTAAAAACCCTAAAACCCCAAAACCCTAGAACCTCTAAAAACCCTACAACCCTAAGCCCTAAACCTAAACCTCGGGTTGTTGGCTCAGTTCCCAGTTCCACGGCCCCTTCTTCCGGTCATGCGCGAGGAGAGCACGCGCAGCTGCTTGTTCCAGTCGTTGGGCCGACTCAACCAGTGCCTTGGGCGACGGGGTATTCTCAACATTTAGGATTTAGCGTTTAGGGTTGGGGTTTAGGGTTTAGGGTTTAGGGTTTAGGGTTTAGGGTTTAGGGTTTAGGGTTTAGGGTTTAGGGATAAGGGTTTAGGGTTTGGGGTTTAGGGTTTAGGGTTTAGGGCTTAGGGTTTAGGGTTTAGGGTGTGGGGCTTGTCGTACTACAACCCCGATATATGAAAACAGATGAACCTAAAGTTTAGGGCCCAAGCCTTCGTAGGGCTCATGTCGTCCCTACTAAGGTGTGCAACTGGCGAGCAGCTAAGCATGTCTGGGCGCTTAGCTGGACGCTTGGCTTCGTTTTAAGTTTTAACTAAGACCCTCCGAGGTACCTTACCTCTTCTTCTCTTCGGGTTTAGGGTTTAGGGTTTAGGGTTTAGGGTTTAGGGTTTAGGGTTTCGGGTTTCGGGTTCAGGGTTTAGGGTGTAGGGTTTAGGGTTTAGGGTTTAGGGCTCCCATTTTCATTCCTCGGTGTCTAGGGCACTGGGGACCCTTACCGAAGACAAAGACAGTTCATGGAAAGAATGGCACAAAGCAGCAGACATAGCAGACAGAGGCGGAAAAGTGGGAACACCCAGCTTTGCGTCGTAAACCCTTACCGTAAACCTTAAACTCTATAAACCCTAAACCCTATAAACCCTCGAAACCCTATAAACCCCATAAACCCTATTAACCCTAAAACCTAAGCCCTGCATTCCCTGGGCTGCCAGATTAAGGATCGACAAGCCTTGCCAGCACGGACCGCAACCTGGAGGCACGGTGGGCCATTGGGAGGTACATGGATATATAATATATAACACCAAGTTGTAGCTCGTCATCTACTTAATTAGGGGACTCTGGGGGTTTATAAGTGTCCCTAGACCCTAATATAAGCCCTAAACCCTAACCGATTTGGGGGTCCTAAGTGCCTTGAACCTCCAAGCTGCAAGTGCGCATGGTAGCGGGTAGCGGAGGGCTCCTGAGCGAACCGGGGAGTGAGGGTTTAGTGCTGAGGGTTGCGGGTTTTAGTGGTTTAGGGTTTAGGGGTTTGGGGGTTTAGGGTTTGGGGGTTTAGGGTTTAGGGTTTAGGGTTTAGGGTTTAGGGTTTAGGGTTTGGGGTTTGGGGTTTAGGGTTTTAGGGTTTAAGGTGTTTAAGGTTGAGGGTTCTGGGGTTCAGGATTTAGTGCTTAGGTTTTTTTCCTTGGGACTTCAGAAGTGGGGAAAAATGACCCTGCCTTGATCTTAGGGTTTAGGGTTTAGGGTTTAGGGTTTAGGGTTTAGGGTTTAGGGTTTAGGGTTTAGGGTTTAGGGTTTAGGGTTTAGGGTTTAGGGTTTAGGGTACCTAAACCCCTAAACTCTACACCCTCCCCCCCTAAACCCGTAAACCCCAAACCCCTAAATACCGGAACCCTAAAACCCTCAACCCTAAACCCCTAGAGAACCCTGACCTTCAAAACCTAAACCCTAAACCCTAAAGACCCTTCAAAGCCAAGCCTCATAGCCCTGAGTTGGAGCTCCTCCGGGCGCGGACGAAGGAGAGGGCCAGGCCAGGCTTCGCTTGTCTGGGCTTTCGGCCTTCTTGAAGAAGGATTTAGGGTTTAGGGTTTAGGGTTTAGGGCTTAGGGCTTAGGGCTTAGGGCTTAGGGCTTAGGGCTTAGGGCTTAGGGCTTAGGGCTTAGGGCTTAGGGTTAAGGAATTTGGGGTTTGGGGTTTAGGGTTTAGGGTTTAGGGTTTAGAGTTTAGGGTTTAGGGTTTAGGGTTTAGGTCGAGGGTCGGGGGCACCACCGTTACGGGCGTGGGAGAGAAGTCTAGTGATGAGCTGCTGCTGTGTAAGGCGAACCCAGAACGTGCGTTTACAGGGTTGAGGTCCCGCTCAAACTAGCACCGAGTGTGGGACCTTCATTCCCTTTTTTTGGGCTTTGGGTTCCCTTCCAAAATCCTTGAAGCCAAAACCCTAAACCCTAAACCCTAAACCCTAAACCCTAAACCTTTTTTATTGCTGGGTTACTCTTGGGTCTAGCAAGCCTTCAACCCGGAGCCCGGGACCCAAAACCGCGAGGCACAGTGGCCTCAGACTGGTCTCCCAGGTGTAGGTTTAGGGTTTAGGGTTTAGGGTTTAGGAATTTGGGGTTCAGGGTTTAGGGTTTAGGGTGTAGGGCTTTAGGGCTTAGGGTTTTACGGCTTAGGGTTTAGGCGCCCAGTTCCCCAGTGGGCCCTTCCTTCCCCTCATTTTGTCGGGTTAGGTCAGACTCCCTTGTTCAAACCCTTAACTTACACGCAATTTTGGCTATCCTTGTTTTTTGTATTCCTTGAACGGTGCCCTAAGTTGAGGTCCCTTTTAGGTACCAGGGCCCTTGTATTTACTGTACACCTAACAACTAGGCTAGAAACCTAAACCCTAAACCCTAAACCCTAAACCCTAAACCCTAAACCCTAAACCCTAAACCCTAAACCCTAAACCCTAAACCCTAAACCCTAAACCCTAAACCCTTCAGGACAGCGGCAGCCCTGAGTCCTGCAAAGCTTAGCAAACCCCCCAAGAAAGGGCTTCAAGGGATCAAGACTCGTAAACCCTAAACCCTAAACCCTAAACCCTAAACCCTAAACCCTAAACCCTAAGGTTGTACCCTGACAGGTTGCCCTTAATATGGACCCCCAAGACTAAAGCCCAATAGTGCAACCTTAAGTGTTCAAGATACAACCCCCAGAGGTCTTGAACCCTAAACCCTAAACCCTAAACCCTGAACCCCAAGCCCTGAACCCTGAACCCTAAACCCTAAACCCTAAATCCTAAACCCTAAACCCTAAACCCCAAGAAGTGACAGTGCATCCTCAGGCGCGGACGGGCCATTCTGCGGGCTTTGGCCCGTTGGACGCTGGTCTTCGCCACTGTGCGGAAGCGCAACCGGTGCGTGGAGATGATCAAGGCTTCTCGGCAGACCCTAAGGGTCCATGTACCCATATAGTATATACCTTTGTGGTACTTTGCTGTAACTTTAGATCCTTACCTTTTTTGGGTTTATTGGGCTTCTTATTAAGGCAGCTAAAAGTTTAAGTTTTAGCTACCCTCCTGAGTGCAGCCAAGATACTTGGGCCCTAAAGCTACCATATGGGAACCCCTTTAAGGCCCAAGTATATACTATACAGGTACATGGACCCTTTGGGAGAGCAGACTCATGAGGTGTTGTGTTTCCATGCCTTTGGTTGTGGTTTATGTCGTCTATATCTCTAGTACTCAGTGGTAGTGATGTTGCAGTCGTCGTCGTTGTCGTTGTCGTTGTCGTTGTCGTTGTCGTCGTTGTCGTCGTCGTCGTCGTTCTTGTTATGCTTCTTCTTGTTGCTGCTTCTATTATTCCTCATGATGGTGTGCGTTGCATGCATTTCCTTGCGTAGGTCACCCTCGGGCAGCTTGGCGAGTGGGCACGGGTCAAGTCGGCCATGAAGAAGGCAGTGGACTCCGTGCGGCGCATTCAGCAAAACTGCCGGCTGTTTTTAGCCGGCGCCTTAGTGGTAGCCCGCCCTCCCAAATCCGAATCCCCGAGGCGTCTGCTACCTTCACATCAGCGCGTGTTTGTAGGTCCAGCTTCTACGTCAATGTAGCTACTTCCGCCAGCCTTCTAAGTTGGGGATCGTGAGCCGAGCTGCTTCTTGTGGGTACAACTTCAACTGCACCTGACACTTCCCTCCCCAAAGCAACGCTCAGGTCGCCAAAAGAGAGAGGTGCAGGCAAATCGAGAAGGACATGTTCTTGCCTACCACCTGCTCATGCCCTGTCAATGAAGACCTGTCGCATGCTTAGGCCCTGTCATCCTTTCCCCGACTTAAGGTTCAGGGTTCAAGTTGAATGTTTAGGGCGAAGAGCTACATCAGCCCACACCCTATAAATAACAGTTCTTGACGAAACGCAGTGCTTGTGTGCCAGGAGTGGGATCGGGTAGAAAGTGCCCAGCTTGAACGATTCTACCAGCAGTTCTCAAAGAAGTCGCTCGATTGGAGGATTGGGGTTGGCGATCTTTGGACGTAAGTCTTAGGAGATGCAGGGACGGAGAGGGAGCAGAGAAGGCGAAAGAGAGCAACAAGCATTGAGAAAGGATCAGAGCGCAGAGGGAGAAAGAGCATGAGAGAGGTTGTGGCGGGATATTCCCCAAAAACCCTATCCCTAAACCCTAAACCCTAAACTCCTAAACCCCTAAACCCTAAACCCTAAAAACCCTTAAACTACCCAACAACCCTAAACCTCATTCCTAAACTCCCGGAAGTCCACTCACTGCTGGCCTCAGCTACAGAAAACCAGCAGGTTCAAAATACCCATACCTATATATATATATATAATATTTTATTTTTTTTATATTTGATTATGTTATATTATATTATATGATGTTAAAGTATGTTATATATGTATATGTATATATATATATGTATGAGAGAAAAACCTTTCGGGTCTATTTTGCTTCTATGCTTGCTTGTGTATGTGAAAGTGAAAGTAAATAATTTAAATTATTTAAATAATTTAAATAATTTAAATCGAGCCTTTGTAAGGACTTCACCAAGAAATCTAAATATTTAAATTAATTTAAATAATTTAAATAATTTAAATAATTTAAATTATTTAAATACGGCCCTTTAATTTATTTAAATTATTTAAATTGTCAAAAGGGTTTTCGGGGATTTAAATAATTTAAATAATTTAAATCGAGCCTTTGTAAGGACTTCACCAAGAAATCCAAATATTTAAATTAATTCAAATAATTTAAATAATTTAAATAATTTAAATAATTTAAATAGGGCCATTTAATTTATTTAAATTATTTAAATTGTCAGAAGGGTTTTCGGGTATTTAAATAATTTAAATAAATTAAATGGCCCTATTTAAATTATTTAAATTATTTAAATTATTTAAATTAATTTAAATATTGGGGTTTCCTGGGGAAGCTCTCCAGAGGATTTAAATTATTTAAATTATTTAAATTGTCAAAAGGGTTTTCGGGGATTTAAATAATTTAAATAATTTGAATAATTTAAATCGAGCCTTTGTAAGGACTTCACCAGGAAATCCAAATATTTAAATTAATTTAAATAATTTAAATGATTTAAATAATTTAAATAATTTAAATAGGGCCATTTAATTTATTTAAATTATTTAAATTGCCAAAGGGTTTTCGGGGATTTAAATAATTTAAATAAATTAAATGGCCCTATTTAAATTATTTAAATTATTTAAATTATTTAAATTAATATAAAAAAAGGGGTTTCCTGGGGAAGCTCTCCAGAGGATTTAAATTATTTAAATTATTTAAATTGTCAAAAGGGTTTTCGGGGATTTAAATAATTTAAATAATTTAAATAATTTAAATCGAGCCTTTGTAAGGACTTCACCAGGAAATCCAAATATTTAAATTAATTTAAATAATTTAAATAATTTAAATAATTTAAATAATTTAAATAGGGCCATTTAATTTATTTAAATTATTTAAACTGTCAAAAGGGTTTTCGGGGATTTAAATAATTTAAATAAATTAAATGGCCCTATTTAAATTATTTAAATTATTTAAATTATTTAAATTAATTTAAATATTGGGGTTTCCTGGGGAAGCTCTCCAGAGGATTTAAATTATTTAAATTATTTAAATTGTCAAAAGGGTTTTCGGGGATTTAAATAATTTAAATAATTTAAATAATTTAAATCGAGCCTTTGTAAGGACTTCACCAGGAAATCCAAATATTTAAATTTAAATAATTTAAATAATTTTTAAATAATTTAAATAGGGCCATTTAATTTATTTAAATTATTTAAATTGTCAAAAGGGTTTTCGGGGATTTAAATAATTTAAATAAATTAAATGGCCCTATTTAAATTATTTAAATTATTTAAATTATTTAAATTATTTAAATTAATTTAAATATTGGGGTTTCCTGGGGAAGCTCTCCAGAGGAATTAAATTATTTAAATTATTTAAATTGTCAAAAGGGTTTTCGGGGATTTAAATAATCTAATAATTTAAATAATTTAAATCGAGCCTTTGTAAGGACTTCACCAGGAAATCCAAATATTTGAATTAATTTAAATAATTTAAATAATTTAAATAATTTAAATTATTTAAATAGGGCCATTTAATTTATTTAAATTATTTAAATTGTCAAAAGGGTTTTCGGGGATTTAAATAATTTAAATAAATTAAATGGCCCTATTTAAATCATTTAAATTATTTAAATTATTTAAATTATTTAAATTATTTAAATTAATTTAAATATTGGGGTTTCCTGGAGAAGCTCTCCAGAGGATTTAAATTATTTAAATTATTTAAATTATTTAAATTATTTAAATTATTTAAATTGTCAAAAGGGTTTTCGGGGATTTAAATAATTTAAATAAATTAAATGGCCTTATTTATTTAAATTATTTAAATTAATTTAAATATTAAGGTTTCCTGTGAAAGCTCTCCAAAGGGTTTTAAATTACTTAAATTCTTTGAATTGTGAAAAGCGTTTTCGAGCATTTAAATGATTTAAATAATTTAAATCAAGCCTTTAGAAGAATTTCGCCAGGATATTTTTAATTAATATAATTGTGATAACATTGCATTCCTTAGCCTGAGTTATCATAGTTATGATAACTTTAGGCACCAAGCCGAGTTATCATAATTATGATAACTTCAGGCTCCCCAAGCTGAATTATCATAATTATGATAACTTTAGGCTCCCCAAGCTGAGTTATCATAATTATGATAACTTCAGGCTCCCCAAGCTGAGTTATCATAATTATGATAACTTTAGGCTCCCCAAGCTGAGTTATCATAATTATGATAACTACAGGCTCCCCAAGATGAGTTATCATAATTATGATAACTCTAAGCTCCCCAAGCAGAGTTATCATAATTATGATAACTTTAAGCTCCCAAGTACAATTATCATAATTGTGATAATAACATTTTGAGTTGAAGTTTTCACCGCAAGCGCTAAATCGCAAGCCCTGATGCCTAAGATTTTCGGTTCAAGTTTGCATAAGCATGACTCTGGCAAAATTTGGCCAAATCGAGCTACGCATTTCTCATCGCGTACGACGAGCAGCCCGATTTGGCCAAATTTTGCCGGGCAGCCTTCGGGCAAAATTTGGCCAAATCGAGCTGCTCCTCGTACGCGAGGAGAAATGCGCAGCTCGATTTGGCCAAATTTTGCTTGAAGGCTGCCAGACAAAATTTGGCCAAATCGAGCTACGCATTTCTCATCGCGTACGACGAGCAGCCCGATTTGGCCAAATTTTGCCGGGCAGCCTTCGGGCAAAATTTGGCCAAATCGAGCTGCTCCTCGTACGCGAGGAGAAATGCGCAGCTCGATTTGGCCAAATTTTGCTTGAAGGCTGCCAGACAAAATTTGGCCAAATCGAGCTACGCATTTCTCATCGCGTACGACGAGCAGCCCGATTTGGCCAAATTTTGCCGGGCAGCCTTCGGGCAAAATTTGGCCAAATCGAGCTGCTCCTCGTACGCGAGGAGAAATGCGCAGCTCGATTTGGCCAAATTTTGCTTGAAGGCTGCCAGGCAAAATTTGGCCAAATCGAGCTACGCATTTCTCATCGCGTACGACGAGCAGCCCGATTTAGCCAAATGTTGCCGGGCAGCCTTCGGGAAAAATTTAGCCAAATCGGGCTGCTCGTCGTACGCGAGGAAAAATGCGCAGCTCGATTTGACCAAATTTTGCTTGAAGGCTGCCAGGCAAAATTTGGCCAAATCGAGCTGCGCATTTCTCATCGCGTACGACGAGCAGCCCGATTTAGCCAAATTTTGCCGGGCAGCCTTTGGGCAAAATTTGGCCAAATCGGACTGCTCGTCGTATCCGATGAGAAATGCGCGGCCTGATTTGGTCAAATCTTGCCCGAAGGCTGCTCTGCGAAATTTAGCCGCAAACTTTTGTTTTGAGGTTTGAAACACACCAGGGTTTACAGAAAACCTTTTGTCGTTCGGGTTGAAGGCATGCAGGGGCTTACAGGAAAAAATGCTTTTTGAGGTTGGATTTAGTCGAGCCGGCCTCCCGAAGGCGAGCCGGGTTCATGATACTGAAACTCAGTCCCGGCCGCCCACAGGCAGGCATCTAAACCTAAGCCGGCAATGAAATCTAAACCGTTAACCTTTAAGCTTATAAACCCGAACCCATAGAACGTAAATCATTGGGAACCTTAAGGGTTTAAGGTTTAGGAATTTAAACATGAACCCTAAACCCTTTAAGGTCAGAACTCTAAAACCCTATAGGGTCTAAAGGGTTCAATGGTTCCAACCCTAAAGGTGCTTTCCTGAAATTTGCTTGGGCTGCAGAAGGGAGCGGTGGGGTCGCACCAGATGTTGACCAGGGGCTCTGCGTCAAAATTTGGTGCGATCCGACCGCCCCGCTTCGCTTCTTTTGCTTGCAGAAAGAAAGGGCGGTCGTATCGCACCAAATTTTGACCAGCAGCTCTGTGTCAACATTTGGTGCGATCGGACCGCCCCTCTTTCCTGCTTTTGCTGTGACTGCAGAAGGGGGGGTCGGATCGCGCCAGATTTTGACCAGGGCTCTGCGTCAGAGTTTGGTTGGTGCGATCCGACCGCCCCTCTTCCTTGAAAATATTTTAATTGGGTTTTCTAAATATATGCATTATTTGAATAACTTAAATCCTGCAAGGCGGGTGGGGGGGGGACTGGCTCCTTCCTTGTGGAAGAATTAATGGTGGTGGTGGTGGTGGCGGTGGTGGTGGTTGTGGTGGTGGTG